TTTAAAAAAAATAAAATTTAGAGTATGTTTGGTTATAATTTCAAATCAATTTTTATCAATTTTATAATTTATGGATCAAAACCATATATTATAGGCTAAATTGCACCAAATCTACATTCAGTTTCATGAAATTGCGATCTCCTATGCTTTTAGAATTGCGTCAAACTTTTTCGTTGTTTCATAAACTTTGCGTCTAACTCCTTCGGTGGTCCTTATTTAACAGTATTTGACCTAAATGAGTCCAAACTGCGAATAAATTTTTGAATCTCAATTTCTAAACCCTTAAAATTACAAATATATTCATTCTTTTAATATTTAGCCTCAAAAAATAGTAAATATATTCAAAAATAGTTATTTTTCTAAGTTTTTAATAGTTTATTTTTATTGTTTTTTTAGGCTAAATATAAGAAAAATGGATATATTTGTAATTTTAGTGGTTTAAAAATTGAGATTCTAAAATTTATTCACAATTTGGGCGCATTTAGTTCAAATACCGTTAAATAAGCACAGTTGAGGAGGTTACTGCAGAGTTTACGAAACAAAGAGGAAATTTGACGCAGTTTTAAAAGTATAAGGGATTTAGTGCAATTTCGTGAAATCACGGGTGGATTATGTGCAATTTAACCTATATTATAATTCATCATGAACAATTTTAGTCAATCTAATCATATAAAGAGAAATACTACTATTAAATTGCGACCTTTTCATTTTTGTTGCTTGATGTTTTGGTAACGAACCCTACTGAAATATAAGTCGACTCTATTTAAAAAATAATAAAAAAGATTTTGGTTACGTGGGAAAAGCATAAAATTTCATTTTGGTTATTAATACTATTAATTAAAATGAAACTACGACGACACGGCCTAACTTATATAATTTGTTATTTTAATAATATCGATTTCTACGTGCACATAAATTAATTAATATTAAATTACTAATTAATAAGTTCTAATTCAGTTTAAAGAATCTTCAAAACGTTAATGACGTGGGCATGTGCTGCATACAGCATTTCATTAACTATTTTGTTTTATATATATATATATAATTTAAAACAATGCTTTGAAATAAATGTGTATATAATTCTTTTATTTCATAAACATAGCTGTAAAATTAATATAATATATATATATATATATAGAGAGAGAGAGAGAGAGAGAGAGAGAGAGAGAGAGAGAGAGAGAGAGAGAGAGAGAGAGCTAATCGTGGCATCCACCATATATGTTAGTTTAATTTATCATAATACAATATTTTATATTTAACATTACAATTCTAAAGAAAATCGTGAATTCGGATTTAATATATAAAAATTTTAAAAAGTTACTATTGCATTTTTTTTTTTAATAATTGTAAAAAAAAAAAAAAAAAAAAGAAGAAGATAAAATTAATAACTTAATTATAAAAAATTGAAATTTGGTCTGCATGCATATAACCCCCAAACACTTTGCAATATATATATATATATTTTTATGTCTCAAACACCATGCAATATTTCCAAAATAGAAAATAATTAATTATATTTAATCTATACCCCACACTTTATTCCTTCACATAATCCAAATAAAATATATATTTTTCTCTCCATCACATCGCTTAATTTTTAAATTATCCTACTTAATACTACCCACCTAAAACCCCGTGGCAAAAGCTAATGTTGCACCTTGTTTGGGACGGAGGGAGTACTGCTTATTGTCTTATTAATTAAGCAGTTGTATAATTATTAATTAATCTTGTAATTTGGAAATTTTCAAATTTAAATTGGTATTTAAAATTTTAAAAATTTAAAAGACCTCGTACATGCGTCATAACATCATTATTTTAACTACAAGTAGGTAAAAATAGAAAAAAAAAAAAAAAAATTATATATAGACTATAGTGGCAGGTGCATGTCTTTATTTGATTTTTTCAGCATTTAAACTTTATTCCTGTGTGTAGGTGAACACTCTTGATATTATTATTATTATTATTATTATTATTATTATTATTATGATCACCAATTTGTATAAGAAAAAATCATCCCATTATTTATCTGTATAAGAAACCATCTATATATGTATGTATACATATACATTTACAAGTCTATGTTTTTTTTACATACAAGTGTATGTATATATATATATATATATGTAATATCTCCAAAATTTTGGATCAGCACCTTCAAAATTGAATATGGTGTTGAAAATATAGCATTAAGAATATATACATATATTACAATCTTTTATTTATTTTCAAACATTTACCATTTCTAAGTCTCACTTTTGACCAAAATTAAATTATTTAACTATATGTAACAATGGGAATTGGTCAGAAAAAGAAAATTGATGGTGGTGGTAGTTAAGGCTATTATTTTTCTAAATAATTAAGTGTATTAGTAAAAATAGTTAATTTAATTAAAATTAATTATAAATTAAATTAAGATAATTATATTTAATTTTATTAAAATTTAGAAAATATAGATTGAAAATTTAAAGCAAAATCAAAGTGTAATTATTTTCCAAAAAAAATAAAAATAAGACACGAAATAAATATATATAAAATAAATTGCAGGCCAATTTAGGGTAGACAGACATCAATGAGGAGCCTACTAAAAGGATTAGTTAATTACTAATAAAATTTCTGAAAAGACCAAAATCATATCTCACACAAAATCAGACAGTTGGTGACTTGCACGAAACAAATCCAATTTCGTCTTTTTACCAAATTAAATTTTTATATAAATATTTAATTATGATTGATGGTGTTGTAACTAATTTGCATGTCTGTTTCTTTGAAATTAATTTCTTGTCACAACTTTTATTCAACACATAATTTTATTTTATTTTACGAACTATCGTATTAAATATTATTTTAATACAAAACATAAAACAAAATAAATAAATGAATAAATACGGCATTAGGATGTTTCTTTTTATAATCGGAATAATTAGGATGTGTTTGTTTGTGGGTTTAGGGGTTAGACCTACGATTTTAAATAGTAAAATTGAAAATTAAAATCGTTATTTAATGTAGTATGATATATTGAATATAATTATTTAATTTTTGTATAATACAAAAAATAGGTATTTGATTTGATATTTAAAAAAAAATTGTAAATAATAAAATCTGAATTGAAAACCTAAAAACAAAAAGAATCTTATTTGAATGAATTGTTGAAATTTGAAATCTAAACATATAATTAATTTTATATTATATCAATTTATCATTAATCTTTTTTTGGAATTCGCAGTCGCTACCCGAAAGTGTGCAACGGATAAACCTACTATCGAACCTAACAATTTATCATTAATCTTTGAATTTTGCATTAAGTAAATTTAATTTTTTTTATGACAAATATAACTGAAAAGAGTTTGACGAAATTTTGAAATATGACTTCAATATCATAAGTTTTTTCATTATATACTAATTCAACGACCGTTATAGGACAACTTAAGTATGTATTTACTTATGAAGTATTTGTTGAAATTTTTTTGTCATTTCTTTGTCCAGATTATGCAGAAAAATTCGGTAAATAAATTCTCCTTAGAACTAACAAACTAATTGCAAATTTTATGTAAGTTTACTATATATATATATTAAATTTAATGAAATTCATACCTACAATTACTTGCCTTGTGTAGGTTTTTTTTTTTTTTTTTTTCCCTTTATATATTTATAAAATCTTGATAATATTATTTACAAATATGCATGTGTGTGTGACCATCAAGGCATTGACAATGGAGGTAGGCTGCTACATTTCTTTTTTATTATTAACATATATGTAACCCACCTAATTAATTTCTACACACTTTTCCTAACCATAAAACACCATCAATTATTTATTTCTAATAATATATATACTTAATAAAGTAATTTACATTTCATGTTAATTACATATGATCAAATTATTTATAAGTATACATATTTTTATTTGATGTTCATACATGAATATCTAGATATCTTTTTTTAGTTAAATCTTTTTGGCCAAAAATATTCACTTTTGAATACATAGATTTAACTTTTGAATCAGTATTCAATTAATTAAATGATTTTCATCCAAGTTATTCATTTATTTATTTTTTAAAAGAAAATTGTTTTTAGGGCCGTATATGGTTTACTATTATTTTAAAATAATAACTAAATTTTGTATCAAATTAATTCTACAATAAAAAAAATAAAAAATAGCAGAAATGGTCATCAGTGTTGGAATTACTTGCTTGATAACATTGTGGCATGCCCAAGATTACTTGGATGATATATGAACAACATTTTATGCTCAGTTATGTCAATTTTTTATTTTATTTTATTTAAAAAATTATAGGACTAATCAAATATAGGTCTATTTATAATTTTAAAATAATGTTCACTTGTCATCTGTACAATATCTGGTGAGCCACCATGTTATCATGCAACTCTGGCGCCTAATAAATGATTATTATTGTCATTTTTTTTTATTTATGATTCTAAATGATAAGACAAGTCATGCATAATATTAAAAAGTAAATATTTTTTTTTCTTAAAAAAAAAAAACAAATAAATTCTGCTAAATACATAATTTAAAAAAAAAAAAGAATTGTAAAAATCTTGAAGAAAAAAAAAAACATTTAATAATAGTTTGTGAAAGGAAGTAAATATGTATGATATTTCTTATGAAAAAAATTAACTGCTCTAGTTTTATTTTTTGTTAAAAAGCATATAAATAAAGCCCAAATAATTAGCCTAAATTTGGTGGCCACTTCTTATGTTAATGTTTATTTATTTGAGTTTTTTGTTTTTGTTTTTGTTATTGTTATTATTATTATTTGTTCTTGCTTATCATTATTTACCTATTAGAAGAAAGACACAGATTTGGGCCCAAACACATACCCACATAGGCCTGAGTGCCGATTAAAATACGGAGACTAGGCCCATACCCATACCCAAATCCAAACCAATAAAAATAATTTGTTAATAATAAAACAATAATTTAATCAATTATATAAATATCGCCTTTTAAAAACAACAACAATAATGATAATAATCAGCAATCATACGACTGTATTATTACATCAACCATATATATATATATATATATGTCTCCCTGCATTACACAATAATGTCTTATTAATTACTTTAATTATAACATAATTTAATACTAATAATTAGCACGGCGGCATGTCCGGCGGCGGCGGCAGCACACGCTGCTCGGGACCTCTTCCACTTCTTACAATAAACACTGTTTCCATTCCCCACGTCATATGTCTCTCCACATGACAATGCATAAACCACACCCCTACATACATGCATACATAATTAATTAATTAATCATTAATTATAATTATTAACTAATTACTAATTAATTAATTAATTAAGTACCTGGGTTATCTGCCTTGAACCGGACGGCGGTCCAGCCGTTGATCGGCACCATGACGGTGGTCCGCATCTGAGGGTCCACAAGATTGTAGTTTAACGGATCCTTAACGGCGTTAAAGTTGCCCAATCCCCACCCCACCACGTAGAAGCTGAATCCATGGAGGTGCATCGGATGATCCAGGCCGGCCACCAAATTGGTCCCCTGGAACACAATTTCAAGGACGGAATTGTATTTTACGAGCTTCACCTCCGTCGCTCTCGCCGGAATCTGGAGCTCCACCGGCAGGAACTCCGCCGTGTAGTTGAACACCAGCGGCGGCGCGTCGGGGAAGCCTTTCCCGAACACGCCGGGGACGTTGTACACGTAAGCCTCCAGAATGTCTATGGTCGGATTCACGAAGCTGATGTTGCTAACGCTGGCCGCCAGCCGCGTCCCGTTCGGACCCCGGCAGCCCTCCGCCGCCGCGCAGGGCAGCGCGTTGATCGACACCGTCGTCACGATTCGTTTCGTGATTTTCTCCGGCACGGCGGCCGGGTGGAGTTTGGAGTTGAGGCTTCTGAGGCTGAAGCTGAAATTGACGGCGGCGGAAGTGTCGTTGATTGGAGGAAGGCTGGGAAGTTCCGGCGACGCGCCGCTGCCACCGCCGCCGCCGCTGTATTGAAGCACGGCGGTGACGGTGGTGTTGTCGAAACTGACTCCGGAGTCGCTGACGTACGGCCTGGCGGCGATGTAGTAACGGCCGCCCGGCTGCTGGTCGGCCTGCAGGAGACAGTCCATCGTCTGGCCGGGAGTTATGACGATGTACGGCGCCGTCAGGCGTTTGGTGTAGGCTGCGTCGGTGTTGACAACTGTCAGGTTGTGATTGGCCACGCCGAAGAAGAGGATTTCGTTCAGGGCGGCGTTCACCACGCGCAGTAGATACGTATTTCCCCGCTTTACTTTCACCTTGAACGTATCTATAATTTATAAACATACGTATATATTATTAATCTAAAAATTAATTAAATTCTTTTACATAATTAATTAAATAAAATTTACGTGCACGTGAGCAGGGATAAAGGTCACCAGGCTGGCCATTGATGGTGTAAGCATCAGAGTCTCTAGGCTGCCCTCCACTCCCCACAAATTCCTCCATCACTTGCATAACATCTTCTTTCCACCACTCCCCTAAGATAATTAATTAAATCGACAAATCATTTTTCACATTTTTGATAAATTAATTAATTTGATATATATATATATATAATCTAATTAATAACCTAGAATGATTGGAATTTCAGCTTTGGGCTTAGGGAATGGATAGGAAGCCCCAAGGCGAGGGTAGACGATGATGGCCCCGTGCACGGTGGCACGTGACCAGTCACTATGCGCGTGCCACCACAGCGTGCCTTCCTCCTTGGAGAATATCACCTTCTGGCTGAACCGGCCGCCCGGTTGGATCGGACACTGGGTTATGTATTCCGGTCCGTCTGACCACGGGTTCCTCGGCTGCTTCACTCCATGCCTACACACACATATATACAATATTATATTGAATTTTCTTTTACCTTATTTTTAATATATATATATATATATATACATAGATATTACCAATGAATGGTAATATTGTATTGGCCTTGGTTGATAACATCCACGACAATGGTGTCTCCTTTGTGAGCTTTTATAGTTGGCCCTGGAAACTTTCCATTCACTGTTAGGATCTTCTTCTTCTCACACAATCTCTTGAACGAAGCCTCCTTCACCTGCAGCACCAAATACATACTAAATTGAATTAACCTGATCTATAAACCCTAATTACATCAAAACCCTAATTGCAGAACTGATTAAAATCATCAGCACTCACAACGAAACGGTATCGACGGATCTCGAGAGCTTGGAAGCAAAAGGAATTAACCAAGATAATAACTGCAGCAAGTAAAATTTGGTTGTGATTGAACCCCATGGTAGTTATATATGTGTGTGTTGTATGAAAGTTTTAGGGTTTTTGTTGCAGTGTATGTATGGTTTTTTTAATGAAATAGATGGTTTCTGAAGCACTGGCAGCCATTGGAATTTATAGGAAATGCAGGATTGATGCTTAGAGTTCAAGTTAAAGGATCTGATGCAATATGGAAATGTGGTTTTGACAATTCTTGTAAAGATTTTGTGAATTTAGGTTGACTTCGATACGTTTTTAGAATTTAATGAGATGTTTGTAATATATATAAAGAAATATTAATCATTAATTGTATTGGTTGCACCAGTTGTAGTTTGGTTTTAATTTGTGTGTGTTTGTTTGGGGATTATATTTTAAATACATTATTCATTTAATTTTTTTTTTCTTAAAAAATATCAAATCAAACACATAATTTTTATTTTTTGTATTATACTAAAATCAATTTTATATTCAAAACATCACGTAACACCTATTTACATCGTACAACTATTCAAATTTAAAATATCTGCTATTCAAATCTCAACTTAAAATCCAAACCCTCAAACAAACACGGGAGAGGCAATATAATGCTACCTTTACTTGAATTCATTTGCCTTTGAGTTTGCAAAATTCGAATGGTAGATTTTTATCTTGATTACTCTCTCCGTCTTAACACTCTTGACAATATTATTTTAGGTATGTCTCGAACACTATAATATTTTTAAAATAAAAAAATAATTAAATATACTTTATTTCTATTCCATATCTTATCACATAATTCAAATTTTAAAATAAATATATTTATCTTTCGCCACATCATTTAATTCACAAATTATGCTATTTAAAATTACCCACTCGAATTTCGTACCGAAAACAAATGTTGCATAATATTTGAGACTAAGAAAACATTATATTTAGTGTAGAATTATGTCAAAAGATTTGGCTATATTTAATTATACTATATTATATTTTTCAATTACACGTTCAATCATATGTAGTCACGAACCCTACACTACTAAGTTGTATTGTAAATTTTTATTAATATTTATAATGCATGGATGTAAAAATAGTCTGATGTTAATAAAACTTAGTAGCAAATTTTATTTATTTATTCAAATTAATATATATATATATATATATACATTCAGATTTACATTGATTCATTGATGAGGCTGTTGCGTTATTATATTAACTTTCAAATTATGGTAATCATATTTGGTGTTCTCTTAAAATTACAGATATCTCTCATTTAATAAGAATACAGTTAATTCTCCCAAAGGAATAATTAATGCATGCTTTTCGTAATTACAATTACATAGAAAAAAGTACATTTCAGCTTATCCAAAATAAAAGAATAAAATAAAAATAATGCTAGAGGTGAGATTTTAATTTTAAATTTTACTTTAAATTATAAAATTTGAAATTAAAGAGCATCAGACCAAAAGGGCCCAAAAGATTTGAGTGGCTTATTTTATTTATTTTTAGTACTATTAAAAAATGGCCCAAGGCATCCAGGCAAGCTTGTGTTCTATTTAGAATTTTGCTTAAAAATAATTAAATTTTTCTGAGAACTGTTACAATTATATAATAAAAAAAATTAAAAGCAAATTTCAAATCAAAGAAGAAAAATATACATATATTTCTTCAATGTAATTGAAAATGCAAAAGTTATTCTTTTTTAAATTTTGCAAGAAGTGCTTAATTTATTTTCAAGTAACGTGGTGTGACTAGCCTCTTGGACCTAGTTTGTAGGGTATTAGATTCGATCATCCATGAGCATTTCTGGGCAGCAATTGCGAATTACCACGTTATAAAAAAAAACATTTATATATTAATTAATAATTAAATTATTGAATACACCAGTTTCTTCTTGTTTTCAAGAAAGATTCATGAACGTAAAGGTTAAATGGGCCAACCGAAAGCTCGAATTGAAAATTCAAACCCGATCCAAGTAAAAAAAAACAAAAACTCTGCGAAGTTTCGGTCTCTCCGTCTAGAGAGCCCAGACGCAGAATCGAGATCCAATCAGTGATTCACCGATTCGACGTCCGTTGAATCAATTCAATCAGAATTGCGCAGAACTTCGATTGATCTGGAGAGCTGAGGCTCTAGGGAGGAGAAAGACACGGCAATATGATAGTGGAGGATCTAGGTGTGGAAGCGAAGGAAGCGGCGGTGAGGGAGGTAGCGAAGCTTCTACCGCTGCCGGAGCTTTTGCAAGCCATTTCCTCAATTAAAGCAGATTACATTGCTCGTCAACAGGTTCGTTTCCTGCTGTGAACTAATGAAACATGTTTATGTGGGACATCTCGCTTCTTTTGCTAGTATCTCCGTACGTGTGTTCTTCGCGCATGAGCTCATGGAAGTAAAACTACGAGATAATTTAGGTAGATTCCTGCGATTTCGTGTTTTTGAATGCTTGAGATGAATTCCATCAATTGAATGAATTAATTCGTTGTAGATCTTCCACTGGATAATGGCAAGGCAATATTTGAGAGGTTGATTTACTAGCGATATAGACAAGGGGATAATTAGAATTCTTAGTTGTGTTTTTCATGGATTATTTCTCACAAAAAAGATTCTGAAAGCTAGTGGTTATAGTTTCATATTGGAACATTTCCCGCGTATAATTAGAATAAGATTGTGAAATTTTCTTTTCATTTAAATATTGATGGTGTTAGTAGATGGTGTAAATAGTTCTCCTGTATCAGGATATACGGATGTGTTAGGCTTCTGAAGCATTTTATAGCAGTAACTATGCTAGGTGATTTAATCCTTATAAGTCATTGAGAGTTTCTTGAATGTTTGGTTACTTCCAGCTCTCATTAAGGCGCAAATTTCTTCTTTACTTGCTGTTTAATGTTTTTTCATGTTTTTATATCAGGCAAATGATGCACAACTAAGTACAATGGTTGCCGAACAGGTACGGACATTTGATCCTGTAAACTTGTTGTCGAAGAACTATTATTTTGTCAATTGCATTGACATATGGTCATAGATCATGTGAAATTCTTCTTCTTCTTTTACTTTTTATTTTTAAGCTAATTCTATAATCCTCAAGGATCTCTTACCATATTTCCTGGATTCAGGTTGAGAAGGCACAAGCAGGTCTTGAGTCACTCTCCCTGTCTAAAAAGGAAATAAGTAGTCTCAGAGACAATTTCGGGGAAATTGAAAGGTACGAAGATGGTGTGTGGTTTTTAAAAATTGCTCTTTTACTTGGTAAATGATACATCTGATTTACAGTCTCATTGATGTTGTACTCTAATGTTTAGCACTTTTTCATAACAGGTTATGTCAAGAATGCCAAACTTTGATTGAAAATCATGATCAAGTAAAGCTCCTCAGTAACGCAAGGAATAACCTGAACACAACACTGAAGGTGAATGAGTCCTTATGCTTTATTATATCGTCAATTTAGTCTCACTAATGTGGTCTGATTTTTATGTTAGTTGGCAATTGGCATGATGGAATAATTTAGATGGTGTTGGAATGAATAATATATTAAATATTGGAGCAGAAACGACCCTAATATAGTAGGTCACATGTCTGGTATTACTCGGTAATGAGAAGTAACTAATATTAATGACTCTTTGATTGCTTCCATTTTTATTGGTGGTTTTGAAGGGTAGGAAAACCAACATTGTGAAAATAAATATGAATGAAATATGTTCATTTAGATTTTAGATTTCCTAGACTTGTGAGCTTGCGCACATGTGCAGGAATATATATATATATACATATTTATATATTGCCTATGTGCATTATCCTGTAAACATTTAGTGCACCACATAGATATAGACAGAGTAGCATTCTGATATAATTGTTAGAAAGTGTATGTTCGCACATATAATACAAAAGAACTCTACTGACAATAAGACATCGCTGAATAAATATTTATTTATAAAAATTCAGTGCAGTGGAGAAACATGAATATTTGATATTCCTCTATTTGAATACACTATCCAAAATTTACGATGACTTCCATTTGATAGAGATACAAAAGTAAAAGCTTACAATGACTCTTTTCCAAATGTGTAACCAGCACTGGAAACTATTTCTGTATTCAGAAATTTGTTTTCTGCTTTTAGTTGTGATCATTTGGATAAAAAGAATATTCCTCTGCACCATGGATAACATATTATATACACACATATATATACTGGATTGCTTAAAGATTACTAGTTATGTAACTTTGACTTTTATGTATAACCTGTTTATAAGTAATTACTACATTATGAGTGTTAAAAATAGTGTAAATATATTTAGGATGTTAATGCTATTATGTGTAATTAAACCACTTATGTTACTTTTGTCCATTAATAGGCACCAAAAATGTGAAAATGAATATATCCAACTATAGCAGAAGAAATGGCTAAGCCTTAGTTTTATTAAGTGTGATCTCTCTGGAGGAACTACCATGTTACCGCTTTACAATACAGCACCAGGGAAAACTCCTCTAAGGCAGTGCTTTGGCACTTTCATATGGCTGCCCTATCTAAAGTCAAGCTATTTCTTATCCTTGGTCCCGTCCCTCCATTGTTTTGTGCAGGATGTAGAGGGTATGATGTCAATCTCTGATGAGGCTGCTGCAGCGCATCGTTCTTTAAGTGATGACAAGGAACTTATTAACACCTACGAGGTTGATATTTTTATACACTTGAATGTCCAGTTGTCTGCTAATAAAATAATTTGTATTTTGTATCAGAAATCATGTTTCTGATTTATTTATTTATTTATTATGATTTTTAACTAAATATAGAGGCTGACAGCCCTTGACGGGAAACGGAGGTTTGCCTTAGCAGCAGCTTCATCTCATGAAGAAGAGGTTGGTCGGCTGAGGTCAGAAAGTGTTCTTGCTTTCAGCCCAATGTTTTTGATATAGTGAATAAACTCCATAAAATGTGTTTTCTTCTGTGTGTGTGTGCGTGTGTGTGTTTGTTATGATGTTTTGAGGTGAAAATAATTGTTGGGTGTAATGGTTTGTATGGAAAACGAATGTTGGATTTGATGTTTCAGAAAGAAATGCAATAGATTGAATAGTAAAAGTTGGTACTAAATAGACAAGAACACACCCTATGTTCAACTGTGTACTATCCATGATGAGGAACAATTGGCAATTAGTGTACCCAACTACCCATGCCATATCTGAAAGCTTCTCCACCAATTTAAATCTCATAGAATTTAGATGCTCTTTTACAAATTTGTGCATTTAATTATTATCCCTAGGTTGATGCGTTCTCTTACTTGGGAGTAATGTAAGGGTTATATTGTTTGGCATTGTATTTATATTTTGCTGTCCCCGTAAGAGATGTGGTAGAGTAGAGTTCTAATGATATGGACCAGTGTGCTTGGATGTGAGGTACATGTGTAATGATGGTAGCTAATATAAAATATTGTTACATAAGATCTATTTGAAATGCTATTTGAGACGTGCTTTCGAAAAACTCTTGCTCATGAGTCCTAACTCATAAGAAAATTTGTTTGTTATGTTAAGTTTTTTCAATGTATCTAAAAAGAGCACCTTTTCATTTTCTTGATGGATTGTAATACATTTCACAGTGAATACTTTGAAGACATAGATCGCACATGGGAGACATTTGAGAAGACATTATGGGGTCATATTGCCAACTTCTTAAAACTTGCGAAAGAAAGGTATGTATGCCATTGAAGTCTATTTCCTTAATATATTGTTTCTACTTTTGATGAAATATCAAGATATTCCAAACCTAAACCATGGACATGAACAGTGTGTAGTTTGGTGGAATTTACTCCTTCGGATATTTGATGCTTGAACATTTGGTACCTAGAAATTATTACTTTGGTTTGATAAAAAAATTAGCGTATATCATATTTATCTTTAGATATATGATGTGGATATTCAATCAAATGAACTTTTTATATAGAAATTATGCCTTAAATTCTTCTATGAAATGAACCACTAAGGGTGTTCTTACATGGTGATTTTTTTTTTTTGTTTTAAATGGTGGGTTGGACATGATGTTTTGTAAGAGAAATAATGTCATTTTATAAGAATCGTGAGGACATATAATATACCGTTTAATTTTAATCCTGACCTCAAATAAATACTATACCCTGAACCATAGCCCCTCAATGAATCTTAGTTATTATTTAATTCTGGATATGCATTTCCATGCCTGGCTTTTAGAAAATATCAATGTTTTTGCTTCTCATTTTTCTTGCAGCCCACAAACATTGGTTCGAGCATTGAGGTATGTGTACCCTGAATGGTACATCTGGCTATAATAGGTTCCTGATTGGGCCAGTACTAATGCACCATCTCATTTTTTTCTCTTCGTATAAAGGGTTATTGAAATGCAAGAAATAATTGATGAACAATTAGCTACAGAAGCAGCGGAGGCAGAAGGTGGTGATGCGATGGAATCTGTAGCAAATCCTCGTAGAAATGCCAAGTATTTACTTGTCAACAGATGCATAAGTTCTTACACCAATGATTGTGTTGCCTTAACTATGTTTTATCCATGTTTTCATTTTGAAACACTCATGCACGATTCTAAGTTTACTGGGTTTTTTCCCCCTCATCTTTTTCTTTAGGAAAACAGCAACTTCAATGCCATCCTCTAGAAATCTTACACAACATAAGAAGGTTAAAGGTAAAGGCTACAAGGATAAATGTTATAAAGAAATAACCCAGTCAGTTGAAGCACGCTTCGATCGGTTGTGCAGTGAGGTTTATGTTTTGTTATGCTTCTATATATGTCACATTCTACAGGCATTGTTCAGAAACCATATAAAGCTGTGTCGATTCTCATGTGATGATTGTCACCTTTTTTCAGCTTGTATTTGAAGACCTCAAAGGAGCTCTGGAGGAAGCTAGAACGGTATCATTTATGTGTCTTAAACCGTATGTTGATGATTAAAGGAACATATATTTTTAAGTTTCCATCTTCATAGATATAAATAAAATTTGAAGTTGGCATCTGCGATTTGATGTGGTAACAACATGATATATCATTCTCATGTTTGAAATGCTATAATATCTCAAGGGTGAGATGACTTATCCCTTCAAGAATTCTTTTCTATATGGTGTCATATGGCTTTAAAGTATCCTTCACATGCATTTTTATGCTCTAGGTGTTTATGAAATATGATATTTTATATACTTGTTGCCATCTCATAGAGATCTTGTGTATCGTTCAAGAGTCAAGACTATATACACTGAAACTACCTTCTGAATATTTCAACCCCTTGGTACTGCAGCTAAAGAGTACAGTTATGAAAACGCAAGTGGAATACCCACTGGCATGAGCTTCATGCCTTCACATAATAATGGCTGTCAATTCTTTATCGACGTGAACTTAAAGGACCTGATGTTGGATTTTTTACCGGTTGAATCTGGTCAATATGTAGACAATGCAAACTAGATAACTAGCATCTTAGCAGTCAAGTATTCTCTTATTTTCTCTGAGATTAAGTTTCGTAAAGGTACTTAATATTCTGTGATTACTTTTCTGTTTGTGTCAGATTGGTGAAGAACTTGGAGATATATACGACTATGTTGCCCCTTGCTTTCCTCCCAGGTTTGTCAACATAATCTGTTAATCTGACAGTAATCTATTTCTTTGGATACTTTATCAGTCTGAGGGGCAAAAGAACTTTGTTACGCCACTGCTCTCTTCCTCACCCTCACAAGTCACAACCCCCTTCCTCCGCTGATGATCTTATTCGTTTATGCAATATTGTCTCAGATATGAAATATTCCAGCTTATGGTTAATCTCTATACTGAGAGATTCATTCAGTGGCTGAGATTACTAAGTGACAGAGCTAATGATCTGACAAATATAGAGATATTAAAGGTATTTCATCTAAATCTGATGGTGTGAAGCTATAGCAATATCTTGAATTGGTATTCCATGAATGACTCATGTCATCTTTTTAATTTCATAAATGGATGTTCGATCATGATTGGTTTTGTATTTAGTCCTACTTGCACTTGGTTTATCCTGTAGACTTGGAATATTTGATTATTCCAACAACTATTCATTTCTGGATGGCAGCTCACAAATTAAGACGACTTTTGAAATCCATTCTCGATCCATGGCTATTTTTAATATTTTAGTTTGTTGAGTGAAATTATGAATCAACAGACAGTAAGTTACTAATTAAAGCTGCTTGTGGAATGAATGCATATATTTTTAAGACTTCCCTTGTGTTATTTCTCTGTGATTAATCATCGATCGAGAAAGGAATATATAAATTATTCTGATTTTTTACATTCATGTAATTTTGGCTAGATTGCTGCACTTTCTGCAAGCAGAATATATCGAGGAATTCCTATAATTTTCAATCCATTTTTATGTTGCTTGAAGATCTCTTAAATGTAAATGTGTTCTTCTGTATAGATAACTGGCTGGATTGTTGAATATCAAGAAAATTTAATTGGACTTGGTGTTGATGAGTCTCTAGCTCAAGTTTGTTCTGAAAGCGGTGCAATGGATCCTCTTATGAATGCATATGTTGAAAGAATGCAAGCCACAACAAGGGTAATAAGATGATATTATTTTTCCATTGATTGCTATTCACTTTAGTCACCTTATTGGGTCTGCGCATCAACTGATTTTCTCTTTTGTAGAAATGGTACTTGAATATACTTGAGGCTGATAAGGTACAGCCACCAAAGAAAACAGAGGAAGGAAAACTTTACACACCAGCTGCTGTTGATTTGTTTCGAATCCTTGGAGAGCAAGTACAAATCGTACGAGAAAATAGCACTGATGTCATGTTATATCGAATTGCTCTATCCATCATTCAGGTATGCTCAACTTGATCTACCAAGTTCACCTTGTCAATATATCTATAAAGAAAAAATCTCATGTATTCTATAAACTATGAACTAAAAGATTGGCTAGTTAACCAGTGAATACATTGATGGACTGCCATCTCTTTTGAACACAATGTGACTATTGGGTTGCACGTAGTGATGTAAATCTTGCAAATTTTATTCATTTAATAGAAGTGTACTTCTGTAGTTTGAGGCATGGTTGTTGCAGGGCACCTGAATTAATGTCTCAAATTATTTGATTGAACTTGATTTATACTGTTGCAGATTCTCACTATGGGTGAGTTAACTAGAAGTGATTAGGGTTGATTTATTATTTTTTCCATCTTAATCACATGTCTACTTTAATATATAAAGCCCGTAAATTATCCTTAAACCTGGGATACTATTCTATGTTATAAAATCATCATATCTGATTAAATCGGTTGGATAAACTAACTCCTTATATTATTATTAAAAATTATGACTCTTATCATTATAAAGTAAGCACACTTACTACCCGACTCAATAATGGTTATCATAATTTCGATAAATAATAAAAGATTGAAAAGGCCTTTGAAGAATGAAAATTGAATTGAAGTAATATTATATTTGCCTTCCTTTTTAGGTAATGATCGATTTTCAAGCAGCTGAAAGGCAAAGATTTGAAGAACCTGCATCAGAAATTGGTCTAGAATGTTTATGTGCACTGGTATGTAAATCACTCCAGCACATATATGCGACAAACACACACACACATATATTTAATTGATGAAACACCAAATGAACATGGCCATTATATGTTTATACTAATTAATAATTTTTTCACAGATCAATAACAATCTTCGATGTTATGATCTTGCCATGGAGTTAAGTTCAAGCACCCTTGAAGCTCTCCCACCTAATTATGCTGAACAGGTGGCTATTATCTAGAATTTATACACGTTCTTCTCTAATTCAAAATGCATACTGGAATTTATAACTGAAGTTGGGATTTAATGTTTACTATGAATTGCCTATGAAACTAATATTTCTCTCTACTAGTATATTTCAGTATTCTAGTTGTATTAAATCACAAGCTTAACTATGTGAATGAGTTACCCTTTCTGTATCTGTAAGGATTATACTTCATGTGCATGGAGAAGTTGTACTAGTCACATTACTCTAGGATGCACAAACTTGTTTGATGTAATTTAACAACCACACTGTTGATCTACGATAATTTGTCTGTGTTTCAGTTGTTTCACTAACAAAGGGCTCATTTCGATATATGTAAATATTCTTAATAAATTTGAAGTTAAACCTTGTTAGTAGAACTGTTAATCGACTAAATAATGCAATACCTGAATAGAAGAGAACAGAATAGTGACCAAATGTGGGCACTGAAAAAATATGTACTTGGCTCTGTAGAACTACTCTTCTACTTAGTTTACTGAAGTTATCTTTTGTATTCTCAGTGCATCTGATGTGGTTTTTGGATCAGCATTAGATTTTGTTTATTCTAATTTGAACTTTGTATTATAACCCAAAAAAGTCATTATGTTTTTTTGTTGTATAGTATTACCTCAAGTTATACACAGTAACACAAAGAACTACATATGGATGCATATGAACTGTTAAATAAAACAGTTAATAGGTGTATGCTTATGTGCACACTGAGATGGTCATCTTGATTCTTGATTATAAAAGTTAGCTGTCTTAGTTCAATTGCACGTAACTTGACTTTTGGTTGACTGTTTGATGCCCTTTCTATTTCTTCTATTCACTCTCAGTAGGTTTTGTGCTCTTCTATTCATTTTGATGTGACACTTTGATCTTAATATTGAGCACGCCAATGGAACTCTAGATTTTTCCAAAAGCTTACTTTATTGTAAACATTACAAGACATCAACAAAGCTACTTTGAGATATAAACTAAACTAACAGGCAAAGAATGAGGCCTACATCCAATAATGAAGAAAGTAAATCAGTTACAATCATCAATAAAGTTATGGGAAATGCACAGTCACATATAATGGTTGTTTTGGGAAATATCTTGCTGTAATGTATTCATTCTCCCACTGAATGTGGTGACCATCGAGTCCTGAAGTTATACACATCTAGCACAGAAGAATTTATTCTTGCAATCTGTTACAAAAATACAAAAAATTAATCCCTTTTGCAACTAATTTGCAATGATTGGAAGAACATAGCATTGATATATATATATATATATATTTGCATGCCTGGATTGTGAAGAAGAATATTAATGTTTTCTTGAAATTGATTATTTTTTATTTATATAGGTTAATTTTGAGGACACTTGTAAAGGCTTTCTGGAGGTTGCGAAGGTACATTGGTGTTTTCGTGTCTATTTTTAGATTACAATCTGTTCTAAGTTTTAACTATCATCTGTGTAACATCTACAGAGTATCAATGTTAAACTTGTATATTTTGCTTTAGCACTTTCCTCAATCATTTTTTCTTCTTTTGGCCTCATCCATTGGAGAATGTAAAATTAATTTTGAAAACTAAAGTTGCTATATTACCATGGTTTATCCAGGGCAAAACATATTCAGCAATAAGATTGAATCAATATATAAGCATGTGCACAGCAAAATATATCAATTGCTAAATTTGCCTCTTCCAACTGCTACCATATATTTCCAATTCCATGCCAGGTGTGTACATATTGTTGGTATTCCTAATGAATGTTTAATTGTTAGGAAGCTGTTCATCAAACTGTCAGTGTCATTTTTGAAGATCCAGGAGTTCAGGAGCTACTTGTAAAGTTATATCAAAAGGGTATTTACTGCTTCTGCCTTGTTGTTGAAGTTCAACTCTTTAAATCTGTGGATGCCATTTGAAACATAAACATTGAATGTATTGTTAATTAACTTTATGCATGAGTGGTCGGGTCATTGGTGTTTGATCTTTTTTCTGTTGGTTGTCATGCCATTCCTTATTTATTTAATGCATTGCTAGAGGGACTCTTAGCATTGCAGTTAAGTAGTGTGACATGGGATGATGTTTCTCTTAGGTGAAGTGGATGGGGGCATAATGGTTGAATGGATTTGAGCCCTGAGGTACATGTAGTTTAACTAGTTTGCCTAGTGTATCTATTTTACAAGAACCTATTTCACACCTTTATCAGATATAGACCACAAGAAAGCTGACAACCTGAATGGTAGTTAGTTTGTCATTCTATGATTACCCATGTACCTCTAGAACAGGTCTTTCAAAATGAAAATACTGATGGATTCCCATATTAGGTTCTGGCAGAAATTTAAGTTTTAAATTTAGGGAAAAGCTTGGGCAGTTAGAGAAATCATATTAAATTGCCTCTGAAGATGATGCTCTATTTTATTTATTTATTGTGTTTCAGACTGGTTGGAAGGACAGGTTACCGAATACCTAGTTGCTACATTTGGTGATTACTTTACAGATGTGAAGATGTAAGTTATCGCACTTGTTTTGTTTAGATCTAATAATTGGCTCCAAATACCTGTATGTTGTACTTAATTTTTTTCTAAATGAATCTGTATATAAAGGTACATAGAAGAAAGATCGTTTAGGCGATTTGTGGAGGCCTGCTTGGAGGAAACTATTATTGTTTATGTTGACCATCTGCTTGTCCAGGTTCCTTTCGTGAAATTATTTTGTTGGAGGATAAAATTCACAATTTTTTTTTTTTTCTTCTTGCAGCTAACTTTGATTCTGTTCTTTCTGATCTGCAGAAAAATTATATCAAAGAAGAGACAATTGAAAGGATGAAGCTGGATGAAGAGGTTCTCATGGACTTCTTCCGGGAGTATATAAGTGTTTCTGTAAGCTCACACACTTTGATGCAAATGCTCTCAATTCATAAGGGTGTGATTCTATGTTATAATTCTGTATCTTTAACTAGTAATGTGGATCATGCATTGCAGAAAGTCGAAAATAGAGTGAGGGTACTGGCTGACCTGCGAGAACTTGCTTCATCAGAGAGCCCAGATTCTTTCACACTTGTGTATACCAATATTCTGGATCATCAACCAGATTGTCCAGTAAGCATTATTGTGTTATGCTTTCAGTTAACTAAATCGTACTACCATCTTTTGCGCTCTAGTTAGATAATTCTTGTCTCCAATTTGTTACCAGTCACTTTCTGTTTTGAAATCCAAAGGGGAATACATTCATGTTCTGCCTTTTACTAACCATCTGATTTTCTTTGATACAGCCGGAAGTGGTTGAAAAAATTGTTAGCTTGCGTGAAGGCATACCAAGAAAAGATGCTAAAGAGGTAAATCCTATGAACAAGCTTTGTAAAACAAAAAAGCTAGAGCTCAAATTACGCAAATTGAAAGCTATATCGGTACTTTGATATTTTGTTGAACAGGTGGTTCAGGAATGCAAAGAAATATACGAAAATTCTCTTGTTGATGGAAATCCACCGAAGACAGGTTTCGTCTTCCCAAGGGTGAAGGCCCTATCGGCTTCCAAACAGCACCGCATTTGGCGAAAACTCACCTAGACATCTGTTGATACTCCCCATCCCGTTCTTGTTTGAAGCTGCGACCGGTATCTTCCAACCTTGCCCCTCTATGCGTGTATATAATTGAGTGTAACCGTTCGATCTTATTCTAGTTTATGTCAATTCAACGTAAGTGAAATGTTTCTATAGCCAGAAGTCAGTGTGATTTGAAAACTTCGCCAGCCAACAATAATGACTAGAACCATGTCTTGAATTCATGTAATTTTTGTAACTCAAAATTAAATTATTTGTTTCCATGTATTGCTAGTAAGGAATTCCTGTAGATCTAACAAAGTGTTGCATCCAAAGGGAAATACAAAATTGCACGAAACAATAAATAGAAGCAATCAACTACAGGTACAATTTCAATTACAGTTACACACTCAACATATGACAATACAATCGTAGTTCCTTCCTTCACCATAAATATAACACTCACCGAAATGCACAAGCACTTAAGCATAACTTTAAATAAACACTGCCAAAAAGGTGTTCATCCCCATAAAGATAAGAGCAACAATTGTTTGATGCCATGATCCTTATGCAAGACTTCCTGCATAATTCGACTTCCCGTCTTCCCCGTAAGCCATGTTTGCAAATCACGCCTCGTCCTCAGTGAGCTCCAGATTGTACCCATGCTTGCTATCTGCATCATTGGTATGGTTAGACTAATCGAGTAACACAACCCAACTCTAAATAATGCAGCTGAAAAAACACATTATAAAAGAAAAATGTCGAAATACCTTTTGCCGAAGCTTTACTGTTCCTACCCTTCCGTTCGAAGTCATCATCGCCCAACTCATCCTTCCCATCATTTCCTCCAATATCACTTTCGCTGGCTGTTTCCCATTCAGAGTCATCACTCTCCTGGCCGCAAATATCTCCGGCATCACCTTCGCACTGGATGCCTCCATGTTTAATAGCTGCCTCTCTAAATAACCAAGCGGCACGCATCTGCTTCTTAACTAGGCGCTCGGCATAGTCGGGAACCTTGTTCTGCCTCAGGGAAAGATCAGGATCTGTTGACTGGGAGAATTCGTTTATGAACAAAATAGCATCCAACAGGCTCTCCTTGGCGAATCCAAGCATGTCGTAGGCTTGTGCTCGTCTCCATAGGCTTCTGGCGTGACGGTTCACGGGGTTATGAAGGCAGAGCGCACGTGTAGCATCCCGTATAGCAGCAAGGGGTTGTTGCAGTAGAAGATGGCATTGAGCTCGGTTGCTGTACAAAACTACCCTTTCTTTTTTAGACCTCATGGGGCACAATGCCAATGCTTCCGAATACTTTGATGCGGCACCGGAGATATCTCCAGAAGAGAACAGAGAATTTCCTTCGAGTTTAACCACTAAAGCAGCTGCGTGCTTGATGTGAAGATCCTCTTTCGGCATGGTTTTCTCCCATTTTAGCCGCTGTTTAGAAGCAAGGAGTTCTTCGATCTCCTCTTTTACCCTGCTGCTCATTGAGTTGCGGCCTGTTCCGGGGGATTGAATGCATTCCTCGAGAACATTGACAATTGAATCGCCAAGTTTCTTATGATCCCCTAAAGTGGTTATTTCTGCAAGGTCAATCAATGTTGGCACTACCTTGTCGCAGACCTGCATAATTTGAGCAATTAAGATAAGAATACAAATCGATATGCGATCATTCTCATCAACATTCAACATCTAAGCACAAATATTAACTTCCTCGCAACTTTGAGCACACAATTCTCACTTCAACTAAGCTAAACTACAGCTCTTTGAATATGAAATATTTTTCCTTCATCAACAAATATGCAAACTTCAGTAGTTGAGTTCTTATTGTCTCTATTTAAATTGAAAGTCCAACCTATATGGGCTGACATACTCACACTCCTATAAACGTACAGTCATAGCAGTATATACTATACAGTGCACACCGCAAGTCTCCACGCTCAATGGTGCACGGCAGAACCAATCTTAACAGCAAACAAGTTCAAATTACCACAATTCTTCTATTGTCGCTTTGATCTCAAGTACACTTGCATTGTATTGTTTAAGTACTACATCTAACTCTTAAGGATAAAATAGTATATATATATATATATAGTTTCATATAGTTTTGTGAAGAGCTTCATTATGAGACATGCACTGTCACACCATCCATCATCCGCCACAGCTCGAAGGCCTTTGCCTCATGGTACATATCGTACACACAATGTGCCAATAAGAACCAAGCATACACTCATTCTATTCTAAACTAATTAGTAACTCTATATTCCTTTGGGGTGCAACCATTACCATGTGTCCAGTTATTATTGAATTGGTAATTGATAAATATATATGCCAAAAAAGGTACAAATAAAATCAAATAAACTATGATGCAATTGTTTCATGCAAGATGTTTTTTCAGAAACTAAATCAAACAGATTCTAGAAAATAAGCAGCAAACATAAATAGCTTTCAATTTTAGTTATACAATGATTAAAAGGTAAAGAAACATTTAATTTTTGCATCACAAGTACGCTATGGTGAAGCCAAGTGTTATAGTATACGAACACAAGATAAACAACTATGATGCAAATTGTTTCGTGCAAGATATATGAAAGTGGACAACACTGAACAGAAGCAACAACAATTCAGAAGATTTTTATACTGCCGATCAAGAAACCTCAGTAGGTGATTATTATCTAACAATGTCATGTCCTGTGCTCCAAAATATAATGCTTCTGTTTTTGGTTGTTTTATTTTCTACCTGATCAAGGTAGATATGCATTTCCATGTGATTCATCAAAGTTAGAATTAAAGAATCATATTAAGCCCTCAGCAATAAATACATAATGGTAAACAAACAGTAAGTTGTAACACTTAAAGCATTCAAAAATTCATGATCAATAAATTTATCAATCTGGATAGAACCAAAATACTAAAGCCATGTGGCAGAGAGCAATATCAAAGCAAATCACACTACACTTACCAAAAAGAACCTTAAACTCATTTCTTCAGTAAACAATTGTGTTATTACAAATCACAAATAACCAAAGAAAAAATTCATAGGAGAACACATAACAAGGATGCGTAGATGAGTAACTGAACATAAGAAATTACCTTGTGACAGGTACTTGGATCCTGTAGCAACCACAGAAGGCAGTCAATTGCCATATATTGCCAATCATCTGATGACCGTGCTATGTTACACAATGCATCTACAATTCCTGGACAGCTAGCAACTGGAGCCCTCCCATGCTTATGATGGCAAATTGTTCGCAATAACCCGATACCAGCAGGTGAATTTTCATTAACAAGTCCTCCCCACATGGCAGGAAGCTTTACTAGAAACTCCGGTTTGCATATAGTAGAAAGGAAATCAGGTTTGAAAGCAAAGCAATTGATAAGCTGAAGAGACCAGCACTGTAGCTGACTAGCCCACTCCTCAGCCTTCCTTGACTCCATTTCAACACCACCCATACCGCGTGTGAGAAGGTCACAGTGATAACTAAGCCTTCTGTCTACATACTGGTAAAAATGAGTGTAAACAATTTCCAGAGAACTCATTGCCAACTGCATCGAAAGCTCCAATATCTCTCCATGGTTGGCAACAGCAGGAAAAGTGGCAGCGTAAGTAGCTAAATGACCAAGAGCCCGCACGGCCACTCTCTGTTCAACCCAAGTCAGCCTCCCTCTCAGAAGTTCGGCCAGAGGTGGGATAACCCCAGCATGCACTGCCATTTCAGCAAATTCTTCCATATTCATAGTGTAGGATCCGATTATATGTGCAGCATAGTATGGAATATAAATGTTCTGGTCATGAGACAGCCACCGTCTGTTCTTCAATCCTTTCCAGATGAGAGCTGCCATACATTCAAAAATTCCCAACTCAATGAATTCCGGGTCATTAGGATGTGCCATGGCTGTGTTCCAAAGGCCACTAATAGGAAGGACTTGGCCATCATCATCCTGTGAAGGAAGTTCTCTAAAGAACTTCAACAAACTTGCCCTCCGCTTGCTTGGGTTTCCTTCCTTCATCACACAAAAGAAGCATCCAGGGTATGGACAATCTGGGGATACTTTATCCATGCTCATGAATATAACAAGTCTGACCTTCCGACCAACAAAAAAACTAGTTTTTCATGAAGTAGCTACCTGACATAAACGTATAACCACTTCATTGGGTGATCATAAACTGGAAATTTGGAAGCAGGATTCACTATCACAAGTTAAAAGTGGAAACTTATGTTCAGCTAAACAGACATCATCTCTTATGTGTACATTTCCCATTCTTTTTTAACCATAATGATATAAATACAAGTACCCAACCATCCAGCCTATATCCTGTTGAACTATGATCGACCGAAAACAAAGTGTGAAAGAACCTTTGCTCTTAGTCGGATTTTCTTTTAATTGAACTAATTTGTTATCCACCAATACTAACAGTCTAAAATCAAAGGCATAGTATAGCAGTACAAAGACCTCTTTCGATCAGTTAATAGCCTTGTATAAAGAAAAAAAAAAAAAAAAATCAACAAACCTATAGAAACTTAGGATTCAAGCATCATAATTTCTAACTTTAGAAATACAGAACAGTCACAATCAAATACCATTTCCATCATTAACTAGCCAACCTGTTTATTCCTCAAGAAAACAATCAAGTTCAGGGTGGATAAGATCTCCAAGGCCAGAAAATCAATCGCCCAAAAATAAATAAATAAATAAAAGAGAAGTCTTTTTGTTCAATTAGAGGTCAATCCACGTATTTTCTATGTCAATGACATATAACGGAATAGGAAGTTGAGACAACGGCAACCCTAACCAAAAATTGAATTCACAATTACAAGCAATGCTCTAAACTCCCCGATCGGCCATGGCAAAGCTAATTCACAACATCGTTTTCCATCAACTGATTCGGCGGCGCAATAATTCTTACATAAATAAAACTAACTAATTAATCTCCACTAGAGATCTATCGTCAATTGGTAAAAAAACGACCCAACCAAACCACTTCAGGCTCACCTCAGAAAACACATCTAAAGCAAACAGAGAAGATGTATGTACACATATAAATGCTCTGCTTAAACCCTCTCAAAGCCTTCTAAAACAAAAACTTAAAAAGTCGCTATACAACGAAGAAAAGAGATCAAAAGGCCACCTGCTACACCACGCTAGATGCCGAGCCTCGCAACAAGACAACAATGCCCGAAAAGCCCTTTCACTTCAACTCCAAAGTTCGCTTTCCAGAGGAGTCTTCTTTTTCCCCTCTTCTTTTATCACGGGAATTTCGCAGAGAATGGAGACGCTGTAGAGATTGTGGGGTTGAAATTGAAGATCCGCCCCACTTTCCTGTTGTGCGTGCGATTTCTTAACTATCCGTAGAAGATCTGGTTTCCCTTTCGGCCTGCGATTCCTACCAATAGAGGACGATTTGCAAGAGCAGCAGCAGATACCATCAGTCCATACTCCATAGAATGGAATTAGAAGCTGCCCTCTGAAGTGGAAATGGAAATTGAATTGGAATTGAAATCGAAATCGATATTGGGTGTGGGGACATCATTCATTCATACCTCCTTTCATTATTTTCAATCAATTAATTAATTAGCTACAGCATTAATACCTCTATGCTAAATTGCCTATACATTATTATTATTATTATTATATACAATTATCTGGCTTTTTTGAGGTCCCACCGTCCGTTTTCTTACACGATTGACGACCTACGATACACACGTGTCGTACTGGAACTTACCGTTGTACCTCAGCCAACTCATACGTATTTTTTCGAATTTTTTGAAAATGGGACTTTTTTTTTTTTATTTAAATTTGAATATCCACCAATGGTTTAGGAATGTAGAATATTTCGTAGTAAAAACCGGTAAAATTTTCCTTAATAATTCTCTGATAAAAGTTTTGGTAGTCAATTTTGGAATTTTATACAGTGTTTTTTAAAATAGTAAAAAAAAAAGTATTATTTAATACTATATTATACAAATAGATATTGAGTATAATGTTTATATATTATCATTTTAATATAATATTAATAAATAAAAATAAATTTTAAATGTGATATTTTTTAAAAAATAAAACTTTCAATAATTAAATATAATTTTTTAAAAAATAGAAAACTGTATATATATATATATAAGTTTATTTATTTATGATAGAGACGAATAGAAGATTATAAATACTTTCTGTTTTAAAAAGTTCGGAGAATTAATTACAAATGTGCCATAAAAAAGTACACGTGGTTGTTATCCGGTAATTAGTAGCATCTATGGTGTACGTGCATGCATGCCATATAAGTTCCAATGAAATTCCTTAATTAAATATTTAAGGAAAATAATATACATCGCTTGAAATAGGTATATAATTTAATAAGATTTAAATACATTTTTTGTTTGGTTAGGTGTATTCAATCAAGACTTTTAAAAGTATTTTAAAATCCAGAGGTATTCAATATATCTTTTAAAATTTTGAAATATTCAACAATCCATAGATTTTGAAAGTCTATGGATTCTAATGAATTTTTGTGAAAATTTTGTATATAAAAGAATCTCTCCTTACCATAATAGAATTTGATGGATTTTTAAAATTATTATTATTATTATTATTATTATTATTATTATTGTTGTTGTTGTTGTATATGTGATTAATAATATGATAATATTTATTACTATTATTATAATTTTTAATAAATAATAATTTAAAACTAAAATATATTAGCAAATTCTTATGATTTCTTTTTTAATATATATTTTTATATTATAAATATAATTTTAAAAAATATTATTATAATACTGTCATCGTTTCTTTTCAATTATCGAATACGCTGTATTATCATTACGATAAAGATAAAATAGATATTTAAATATATATTTTTTATTGAACCGTTAATTTATATTTATTTATTTATTTTAATATTTTTTTAAAAATCGTATATTATTTATTTATTTATTTTAATATAACCTTTTTACATAAAAAGTAAATACATATATATTATTTATTAATACTTATATATTATTTATTAATATTAAGTAGTATCTTATTAATAATTATTTATTATATTTATAAAATTTGTTGTTTGATATAAATTTATATAATTAATATATATTAAAAAAAATTATTTTACAATCCTACAAAATCCATAAAAAATTCAATCAAATCCGTAGAAATCCATCTAAATCAATTACTAAATCCATAGACTTTTTAAAATAAAAAAAACCCATTAAAATTTCAATTGAATACACCCCTAAATATTACTTTCATTGTCTGTCTAGCTACATTTCTTATTAGGGGAAAATATACCATACTATAATATGTTGCTTAGAAATAACTTATTATTGTAGTTTAAGTAAGTTTATTATTAAAATTTTCAATAATTTTTATTTCAATCACTCTAATAGTCTAATAATGTTGTCCGAATAATTTTTGTATGGCCTTGGAGCAATTATCATTAATGTCGCCGGGTTTTAGTTGGTTTTGAAGGTGACATTCGACCCGTCACCTTTTGTTATCCGAAGAAAATAAAATATTAAATGGTCCAAATTGTCGGTCTCGATTTGGAATTTAGGGTAAGGCAAGCCCTTGTCTCGAATATATGAGTTCGATAAAGCTTTTACAATTTATGCGAACATCTGAAATTCTATTCTTCTTGAGATGTCTTTTCTTGCCCCCACCCTTAATATGGAGTCCAATATTTGATGTACTAAAACTACAAGACCTAAACTAATTAGGATAATAAATTAATACTAAATATATACATATATAATATAAATGTTATATATAAATCAATTAAATACATAATAGTTTACACAATAAAATAATAATAATAATAATAATAATAATAATAATAATAATAATAATAATAATAATAATAATAATAATATCCAATCTCAATACAAGAATAAGGTGTTTAGTCCTTTTTCTTTTTGTCACTAATTTCTTGCAGTGTCACTTGTCACACAATTAAGCAAGCATGGGACTTATGTTGAAATCAAAATTCAAAACAAGATTAATGTCATATCTAGCCATTACCAAAAACACACACACACACATACACGTGTGTGTGTGTGTGTTTTAGAATAATAATTACAAATTAAACTGATCAGTTAGTCCCCCACATGGCCGGGTTGGTTTTTGCAGCCATTTCAATAACAATTAGCTAGCTGCCCTTCTCAATACTTATTTTTCCGATGTAGATTAATTAATTACGACAACAGGAAATTAATTCATGCATCAAATTGATCATAAAGCTAAGCAAAATCCAATAATATTATTGCAAACAGACCATAGATACATATACACATATATATATATATGCATATATCAGACACAACACAAACTAATTAAAGAAGAAAATAAATTAAACAAATATGTGTGCATAAATAAATATATAAATATATAATTAAAACTAATTAAACCCACCCGGTCCACCCAAAAGCTACGCTGATCGGCGTTTAATTTGTCTGAGGGCCTCTTCCGCCGCTGACCGGCGGGCGGGGAGGCATCCGTCCGGTCCTGGTCTCCGCCGGCGGGTCGGGCGGCGGATCTGCTGCATCGGCGGCGGGGTCAGATTGGAGGCCAAGACACTTGAGGATAGAGGGCCATATGACTTGTCGAAAATAAGTGCATGGATTGGAGAGCTCTACAGTATACATACTTTGATCTGCAATTCCCACCACTCTCTCGACGTTCTCCGAGGGTTTCTCCATTTTTTGTTTTTATTTTATTTTTTATTTTTCTCCCGGAGCTGGAGCTGGAGCTGGTGGTGGTTGATTAGGTTGGTTCTAGAGGTTTCGGTGGACTGGAATTTAATGCAGAGAGGGAGGGTTTGGTGGCTTCGGATTTAATTTTAATGGAGAATAGACTCAGAAGATTGTAATAAGGGTTTCATCTTTGTTCTGCATATACATATACATATATTAAATAATGTTGTTAATTCCCTGCTCTCTCAATAAGGCGTTGACTTTGACTGAGGGTGGCACTGTCACTGCCACGTGTCCGCTGTTTAATACCTAAATTGGCCTTCTATTTTGAAATTAAAAATAAAATATTTTCTACTATGAAAAGGTTAATAATAATACATGAATAATACATTAGTTGTCCACTAAATTTATTAAATTATTAATTTTAGTAAAATTAAAAAATTTAACATTTAATTATTATCCACCGTTTAATAATGATTTACAATAAATACTACTAATTTTATTACATTCTTTCTCTTCATTTATTTTAATTTCTAATTAAATTTTCAAAAATATTCCTAATTACCTATCACTTTTCAATAAAATATTTATTTGTATGGAGTTTTAGAAATTAGTATTATATTGAGATTTAGTAAGAATAAAGTAAAAATTTATAATATAACTTTATTAATATTGTGTGATATAAAGGTAATGACATTTGTATAATATATTGTAAATTGTAAGGGTATTTGTAACGTTAGTAGATAATACAATTACTAAAAAAAATAAATATATTATGTTATAGGACAAATTAAAATAAAAAAAATAAATAATTTGTTGTAATAATAATAAGGGGAGAAATACTAAAAAAAAAAAAAAGGGGGGGGCAAAAGTGTCAAATCGGAAAGAGGGTAAATTGGGTAATTGAAGTAGGAAGGAAGCAGACACGCCCAAACAAACGATGATGTCCCAACAAGCCACAAGTTACCAACTCCATTGTTTTTATATATATTGTCCTAAGCCTCAAACTCAGCAAGAAGCAGCCTGTCACTTTATTTATTTATTTATATATTGCATATATTATTTCTTGTCCTGACATCCAACTAAGATTCTGATCTTATAATGTAATAATCGTAACATGTTTTTACTTACTAACAAATTAATTAATATATCTCTTTAATACGTTATAGATCAAGTATTCGTGTTGTAGTCTTCAATGCATACAGACAGACAAACATACATATCATACCATTATTGAATAATTCATTGTGAAAATAATAATATCACAAAATTAAATCGCATATTAATTAATTAAAATATTTAGAGAGATCGATATTGCTTTTGAATTGGCAATGAATGTTTGTAATTGTCTGTAAATTTAATTTCATAAAAAATTGGTATGAGGTAGAGGATGATAGTTATTAATGATTTATTAGACATGTACACATATACATATCTGATAAAAATAAATAAATAAATAAATAAATATTAACATGTTTTTGTTCTATATATTTTTTAAAAAAATTAATAATTAATGTACTCCCTCCGTCTGCATATTTATGTCTGTATTTTTTTTATTGTCTGATATATAATTTATTTATAATAAATAATTTTATTCAATTATAATTTTATTATTTCTACTTTAAGATATAATAATCAATTTGTCATTTATTTTTCAACTTACCTATTATTATTTTAAAACTTTTTTAATAAATTTATCATAAGATCTCATTTTATTTTATTTTTATCTACCCCGCATTTGTATTAATTTACTATTATTATTATTATTTTTTTTTGTGTATGTGCAAAATGGCATAAAAAGCCAAGACCAGGGATATTAAATTAAAAATAAATAATAAAATATTTATTTATCACAAAAAGATAATTGTCCATAATAATTAATAAATACAACTCCTCCTAAGATAATATTATAACAGCAAAAGACAACAAGAGATGTTTAAAACACGTCTACAATTGTTTAGTTAGATAGTGTTGTTGTAAGTTAAGGAAAAATAAGTGAAGAAAACTTAAGAACTTCCGCTCAAAATTATAAGTTATTTACCTTTGCTAAAAAATCAAACTATTATTATTCAAATATATATTAAGTAAATTTAAAAAATTACTAAGTAAATATAAATATATAAAAAAAAATAGAGAGAAATAATCAAAATTCTAATTAGAATTAATATGTAAATTCTACATATTTAAAAGATATTCCACATATTTCTTAAAAATCGAATCGTTCATCATTTTCTCTATAAAAATACGTTAATACTAATATAAATTCAAAGATGAATTTGATAATTAAAACTAAAATAGACAGAAGATTACAATAAATTGAAAGAAAATGGAAAACTTAATCAAAAAAATAAAGATATTAATTGAAAAAAAAAAAAAAAAGAAGCAAAAAGATATACAAAAATAGAGAAATTGAAACTGATAATAAAAACAAAAAGATATAATAGTACTTTCATTTATTATAATTTTTTATTGGTATATATTAGTATCAAAATACAGACCATATTTATTTATTGTGTATGATTTAAATAGAGGAATTAACAAAACTCTATTATTAGCAATTGGGCTTGTTATTATGCATGGGCTGAAAATAGTTGTTTTAGTGATAAACTTATCCAATAATATATACATATATATATATATATAACTGAGATTAGTTAATAACAAGGGTGGGTCAACTTAGCTTATACAAATATATATATATATATATAAGTGAGAGTGAAAAATGAAGTTAGATCAAAAAAAATTAATTGGAGAGTGGTCCTTTAATTTGGAAATGATATCACATGGGAGAGGTGGTAAGTGCGTCTCTGTGATCAATCAACATATATGTATATCCTAGTGTGACTCGAACCTAGTTTGCAAAATATTAAATTCGATCGGGTTATCCAATACGCATTTTCGGGTGGCGGTTGCAGATTCTTATGTCATAAATAATTAAAAAAAAAAAAAAAAAAACAACATATATGCATATCTATGACTTGCTGTCTAATTAATTAGTATATATATATATATATATGAATACATATTAATGTACAAGTAATATTAGAGCTTACGCATCTTTGGGGAGGGTTGGCAAAGTAATTTTCAACATGTTCTGTATTATATTTGCCCAAATTATTTAAATAATGGGTTGTAGGTTGATTTATCTCATTAACTGTTCCGACAATTTTAATTTTATATTTTATTTTTTAAAATAGTTGTCGAAATAGGTATAGGTAATATATATAGTGAAATGTGTATGGATTTTCTTGTCTTTTCATCGTCGGGTGTATCCATCTATAACCTTTTCTCATTTTGAAGCATGCTTGTGTGTGTGTGGTCCTTCACTTCCAATTTCAATGGCTTTCATTCATTCAATTAACTGAACACACCAAAGTACCACTCATCACACATCCATGTATATTTCCATGGTCCTATTTTCCCCTCTCTCTTTAATGTGAAGATTGGATAAACCGTGTATATATATATATATATATTTTTGGATGAAATTAGCCGAAGCTATTTATTTAAAAAATTATGGGCGCCTGTTTCATGAATAAAAATAATGAAATCGAATTCCCAATTTAAAAAATAATAAAATAAAAATCGAAATTGCAAGAGAACGTGACTCTTCCCATAATAGTAATTACACTTAATCATAATGATATATATGGGGTCAACTTAACCCATACCCATAAAGTGGACAATGATAGACATATGGGTGGAATATAGGGACAACAGTGCGCCAGAGTAGATCCAAGAGTTGACTTAGACTGATCAATTTATTTATTCTCAGGTATAGAATTTTTTTTTTTAATTTTTTTTCACATATATTTATTTTAAAAGTTAATATACGCATTAATTATTTTTATATTATTTATATAAATTTTCATATTTTACAAAAAAAAAAATAATAAAAATTATTTCCAACAATCTCACTAAGAAACACACTCATAATTATTAGGATATTGAAAATTTATTATATATCTTATTCGGAGTCTGGATTGAACTAAGGGTGGATCGGACAGATTCGAATTTAAATTGATTAATAATATATCAATGATGTTTAAAAAACAAATTAATTCCTAACAATAATGTTATTTTAAAAGCATTTGTTTTAGCTTGATTTATTTATTTATTTATGATGATTATTATGATATTTTTGAAAGACATATAAAATTTTTGATCTGTATTGAATCCAAAATCACGTCTCAATTAAAATTTTAAAAATTGTAAAAGTATTTTCGAAATTGTTGCATATTCAGACCAAACTACGGGACATCCCTAATTGAATACCAAGCACTATGTTGTGTACATTTTTGGGTCTCATGTAGGAATATATATTGCTCGTTGACTAATGACTACCATTTTAAAAGTGTTACGCAATTTTTTATATGTTGTATAAAGTATGTTAGATATGTAGTTGACTTAGTTGACCCCATTGCTTTATATTTATGTCAAATAAATAATTCAAATATATATTTATATTAAATTCATATATATATATATATGTCTAGTTTGCGCAATGGCTCCATATTATTTTGTCTACGAGTACAAAGGAGAGTGATAGTGTCGCTTCCACTAGCACATATTGAGTAACCCTCAACGTAACTTTAATAAATCGTTTTATATACTTAATATTTTTTTATATAGAATATTATATTTAATAATTATTTTCATTTAGTTCAAAAGTAAATAGTTAATATTTTTTTATATAGAATATTATATTTAATAATTATTTTAATTTTGTTCAAAAGTAAATAAAGATGTTTGTTACCCGTGTTTGGATTAATCAAATCTTTTATTATATACTCTATCCGTCCTTAAACTAACGTCTTACTTTCCTATTTGGAATGTTCAACACTATTTTCCTATTTTGAATGTCCAACACGTATTGTCCTATTTCTATTTTTATATATAAAATTTACTTTTTTACCTTTATTTTATTTACTCTTTCATTTTCTATACACAAGATTAAAGACAAATTTATTATTTTATAACAAAAATCTTAATTGCCTAAAAATACGTGTAAATATCAAATAAGACATTAAAAAAAAATAGACGGAGGGAGTATATTTTAAAAATTACTACACTAGCTAATTGTATTATCATTATTTATGTGAATGTCACCAAAAAATCATTAATTATATGAAGAATTTGGTATTAATTTTCTCAAAAATAATAATAATTGAGTAATATGTAATGATTGAAGTTCTGAATAAGAAAAAAAATGATATGTATAATGATTGAGGTAAAGGCTACAATAAAAACACAAGTAAAGAGACCACAACTTTGAAGACGTACATGTTTTCTACTATGGGTGTGTTTGTTTGGGGGTTTGGATTTTGAGTTGGGATTTGAATAGTAAAAATTTTGAATTTGAATAGTTGTACGATGTGATATAAATAGGGTTTGATGTGATGTTTTGAATGTAAAATTGATTTTTAGTGTAATATAAAAAATAAAAAATAGATGTTTGATTTGATGCTTTTGGGGGGAAAAAATTGGATGAATAGTGGAAATCCACCAAAATCCTTCAAACAAACACACACTGTTTGTATTTTATTTTTATTTTTATTTTTTAAAAAATTTCACTCACAAAATATTCCATCATACATTATTTTAATACTAAATTTAAATTATATATTTTTTTTTCTATCATATATATATATATATAAAGTACTTAATTATATCTAGGGTTTGATTTTGTCACATGCATGCAACTAATATAATGCCCTTCTTTATGTTTAATTTCCTTGCTAAGTTCGGAACCAATCAAGCTAACTTTTTGCGTTGGGGTTGAAATCTTACTAGTTATTATATGGTTTAATTAGTGATAGCATTATCATCAGGGCCTCATAATATATATATATATATATATGCACTAGTAAAATTAAATGTGTATATATTTGTTATACATATGCATAACAAACTTAAAAAAGGATTATACACAGCCACAAAAAGAGAGAGAAAGAGAAGACAAACAAAGTAAAACAAGGGCATGAATTATTGTTCCGACACAGACACATTCGAAGATGAGCTTTAAAGAAAAATTGAACATTTCTCTATCGACCTTTTTGTTCTCCCACAAACATATTTGAATGAATGAATAAGGGCTGAGTTACTTACGCATCTGACTCAATTACCAGATACATATATATATATATATATATACTCCACTATTGACATTCCTCCTATTGCTTGCCATGGAGATGCAGCAGATGATCATGGATGGTACTGAAGGGAGTCGGGGTGGGGGTGGGTTGGAGAGGGGTAGGTGGCTGGTGAGATCCCCCAACCCTCCTTCGCCATGGCAGGCTCTGCACGGCTACGTCAGGAAAGCTGTCTGGAATTGCTCCACCTCTCTTCAAAATGATAATGATAAGAGTAGCAGTAAGTGTAGATGGAAATCCATGGCGGTTGTGTTCCTTCAAGGCCTCTTCCCAATTCTGAAATGGGGGAAGACTTACAAGCTTGCCATGCTCAAGAGTGACGTCATGGCTGGATTCACTCTTGCCAGCCTCTGCATCCCTCAGAGCATCGGCTACGCTAATCTCGCCAACCTCGATCCTCAGTATGGCCTCTGTAAGTGTCAATCAATTAATATATATATATATATATAAATATGTTGTAAATTTGTAATTGTAATTGCAGATGCTAGTGTGGTGCCGCCGTTGATCTACGCCGTGATGGGGAGCTCGCGGGAGCTGGCGATCGGTCCCGTGGCTGTGGTTTCGCTGCTGCTATCGGCAATGGTTTCGAAACTTGTCGACCCTTCCCTCGACTCAGCTGGCTACACCAGATTAGTCCTCACTGTCACTTTCTTCACCGGACTCTTCCAGGCCATCTTCGGATTGTTCAGGCTGGGATTTCTCATCGATTTTCTGTCGCACGCCGCCATAGTTGGATTCATGGGAGGTGCAGCCATTGTTATCGGCCTCCAGCAGCTCAAGGGACTGCTCGGACTCGACCATTTCACCACTAACACTGACGTCGTCTCTGTCCTCGCCGCCGTCGCCAAAGGACTCAGCCACAAAGTAAGTCATTAATTGAATTAATAATTTATTGATATGATCGTCTTCAATTCTGTGTGTTAATGTTAATTTTCATTTTCAGGAGTGGTATCCGATGAACTTCGCCATTGGCGGTTCCTTCTTGCTGTTCATCCTGGCCACTCGATTTCTAGTAAGTTGTAGAGTTTTCTACCAGTTTAAATAACGAAATTAACCTATTCCTTTTTCTAGGGCAAAAAACACAGGAAATTCTTCTGGTTCCCGGCCATGGCGCCTCTTTTCTCAGTCATAATTTCCACCGTAATAGTGTACCTAACCAGAGCCGACCGCCATGGCGTGAAGATCGTTAAGCACTTCAAAGGCGGACTCAATCCTATCTCAATCCACCAGCTGAATTTCGGAGGGGAATTCATCGGAGAAACAGCGAAGATCGGACTCATCTGCGCACTCATCGCTCTCACTGTCAGTCAGATTTTAATTTGTCAGTTGAAATTATAATTAAGATTCTGCGATCCAATCCGATTCAATTGATTTGCAGGAAGCCATAGCCGTGGGGAGATCCTTCGCCGCCATGAAAGGCTACCATCTCGACGGGAACAAGGAAATGGTCGCTATGGGATTCATGAACGTCGTCGGATCCTTCACTTCCTGCTACACCGCCACCGGTAATACAATTTCCTCGACCAATTAATTATGTCAATTACCTTATCGATCAATTTCCCGATCGATCGGCCGGCGCAGGTTCGTTCTCGAGGACGGCGGTGAACTACAGCGCCGGTTGCGAAACCGTCGTGTCGAACATCGTGATGGCGGTTACTGTGCTGATAACGCTGCTGCTGTTCACGAAGCTCATGTACTTCACCCCCTTGGCAATCCTGGCCTCCATCATCCTCTCCGCCTTGCCCGGCCTCATCGACGTCCACGAAGCTTACAACATCTGGAAGGTCGACAAGCTCGACTTCCTCGTCTGCATCGCCGCCTTCTTCGGCGTCCTGTTCGGCTCCGTCGAGATCGGCCTCCTCCTCGCCGTACGTAATTCTCTCAATTTTCATATTTATTATTTATTCGCATTAACTGGATTAATCAATGCAATTATGTAATTGTAATATTTGGTTGCAGGTAGGGATTTCATTGGGGAAGATAATAGTGAGGTCGATAAAGCCGAGCATAGAAGAAGTGGGGAGGCTGCCGGAAACAGACATCTTCTGCAACATCCAACAGTATCCTCAGCTGGCCACGAAACCTCCTCCCCCGATCTTGCCAATACGCGTCAACTCTGCTGCAATCTGCTTTGCAAATGCCAATTTCATCACACAGAGAATCGTCAGCTTTCTCTCCCAACGCATCAGCGCCATGGAAGAAGAATTACCGAGCAGCAGCCCTTTGGATGTTGATAATGGAAGAAGAAGAAGGATCATTGCCATGCTCATTCTCGACATCACATGTAATAGACGACGATTCACTAATTTATTGCATAATTAATTAATTAATACAAATGTATATGGTGCATATACACAGGCGTGATGGATGTTGACATGTCGGGCCTTCACGCCATGGAAGAGTTGCATAAGGATCTCAAGTCCAGGGGTGTCCAAGTAAGCCTTTTTTAAAATTGTGTAATAAAGTTCGTTTTTTTTTTTTTTTTTTTTTTTTGGATGAAATCCAATTTTATTTTTAAAAATTTGGTGCAGTTGGTGGTGGCAAATCCGAGATGGGAAGTTATGACGAAGATGAAGGCTGCCAAGGTGGTCGACAAAATTGGTCCCGAGTGGTTTTTCGTGTCTGTTGCCGATGCCGTAGATTTTGCTTCACTTACTCTCAAATTCAATAATAGCTGTTGATTTCTTGGACACATACACCCCTTGTTATAAAATTTTGCTACAAAAAAAATTGTAATAATAATTAAATGTTAAATTGGGCCTGGGAGGTTTAAGCCCAATATAGATGGTATACGGCCCAAATGATCCGGGCCGATAACGACGCCGATCGATATTGCGGTGGTCTTGGACTCTTGGCTGCCTGCCGCGAGACGAATCTGAGATCCCGTCATCGGGATCTGAAAGGGGGACAAAGAAAATGGGGGCAGAAGCTGGGAAAAGTCGGGAGGAAGAAGAAGCGGAAACCAACATTCGTATGCTACCTAGTCTTCCCAATCCAAACCCTAACTCTATCACACAGGCTCAATTTCTCGCCTGGAAAAGTCGAAAGGTCTATATACATATATATATCCTTGATTTTGTGAATTTTTACTTCGAATGTTTTTATTTCTGTATATCGTACCTTCATATTGACGTGCACTTGGTTTATTTGTTGGTGCCTCCTTCGCATTTCTATCTGGTAGATGCATGTATATGTGTGTATAGGGAAATGATCTATGGTTAATGAAAATAGGGAGTAAGGCGAATTGGAGAGTTATTCTCATTTATCTTGATGAATTAGCTTTGCAGAGCTAAATGCTTTGCTTCCATTGTCTTCTGGTGGCTTTTAACATATTGGTTCAGTTTTTCTCATATTCAAAATGACCTGCTTGATAGTTTGGTGATTGGAACAGGGGATTGAAACTAAAACTGACATCAAATTCAATTTGTCATGCAACTCTTAACTCTTTTAGTGCTGTACAAGTGAATTTTCTTGCAATAAATGTAACTAAATTAATCTGTATATTCTATGCACTTGGTGCATAACAGCATGACATGGCTTTTGTTGTTTTGATCACCTTATGCCTTTTGACTTTATGTTGTTGTGATCATCTTATGCCTTTTCGGTTTCTGATGTTTACTTCCTCGTAAGAAGTAGATGATATATGCAACTCTCCTACAATATCAAATAGTTCACTTGACATAAAAAGAATGTCTGCATAGAGTACTCAATAGTACATTATCTTTGACAACAACGATGATTGTGGATATAGGAGAAAAGCAATGGCCTTCCGCCTTGGACATTTGAAAAAATCAATTTTGATTTATTGTTTCTATTTTTCTATTGCATCTTTTGAGCTTTTTAACTTAAATGTAATCTCATTTTTATTGTCTCAGAAAAGTAGTGAGATCTATTGCAGTTATGCAATTTAGGGATAATAATATTAAGTTTCATTTAAGGTTAAAGCCCATTTAGATTAACTAGGTTAGCTATTAGTAAGTCAAATGATTCATGTTTGTGAGTCATGGACAAGAGCTTTTGGAATTGGGCTTTCGATTTGGGGCAGGTAGAATATATTTGTAGTATAGGAAGAAACCTCTGATCTTCTTTTGGGTTGTTGTTTACTTTCTTGTGAATAACAATTGTTTTCATGGTAACCTTCAGTATGTCCAGTTTTTGACCTTGACCATGGTTGAGTGGGTGTACAAATATAATGAACAAGTTTTAGAATTATATTACTACTGAAGTGCAGACTTCTTATAATGTAATTGCATGGTATTTTGGGTTTTTGACTGGCCCTTCACCTTTCCGGGTCTTGATTTTTCACATCATTTTAGTTGGCTTTTGTGTGCGAAGATATGATGATCTGAACAAAAAAACACTAGTTTAATTTCATAGCAAAGGTCCGTACAATTGGGGTGTAAACTCTAAGCAGAATTTCAGCTCATTTTGGTGGTCAATTGAAGAGCCAGCTATGATTGAAAATTTGAAATACAAGGTTATGTTGTTGACTGATTTCTGTCAAATGCATTCTTATCTTTAAACGGGCAACCTCCAAATAGGATTTATACGAAAATCTATCAATCTGCAGTACTCTTTATGTCCTCAAATGCTGTTGCACAATATCATACCTTGAAAGGGCAGGACGCGCAACCATATAACATATATATATATATATACACGCAGAGATAATAACAGTGTCCTTGAACACATGTTCCTTCCTATATTCAATTTCAGACACTTTTCCTGTGGTAACTAATTGCTTATTGTTTATCTTAAAGGATGCTGATGCTTCCGCCAAAAAGGCCGAAGCAGCAAGAAAGCGAGCAGAGGACATAGCTGCTGGAGTGGTTCAGATGAATGGTCGGGAACTGTTTGCCCATGAACCCTGGGTTTTCGACAACACTCAGTACTAGGGTTAGTCAAATTTATTACCGACACACCATCATTGTTTTCTTTTCTTTTCTTTCCTTTTCCGTATATATGAATAAATGTGACGACTTGCAACTAACTACTGCTGGTATAATCCCCCCTCCTCTCTAAACTTTTTCAGATTCAATCCTCTTGGGAATGTTGGATATTTCTTGGTGAGACATTTAGTGGAGAATTGGGACACCAAACAATTACCTCAACTTTGCAATATATATATATATATATATTATGGTTCAAATGTAATAGTAAGGAGTGGCAATTTATATGTTTTGCTTGAAGCCAAATAGATTATGATTTATGTGAATCTAATGGATTTGATTTGCGTCGACCCTTTGTATATTTGGATCACAACTCAGTTAGATTTGACGTTATTTTGGATCATTTAGGGTGTACTTGCATATATTTATATATGCATATATGCTGTATATTTTAACTTTTAATCAAACGATATTCAAGTATATATGATTATTCCACAACAAATATTATATTAAGACAATGAAGAAATCCAGCTTCAGGAGGATTTATTGTCATAACTAATTAGGAATCTGTTGCATACTTGCATGTTATTATTATTATTATTATTATTATTACCACATTGAATAGTACTCGTTTATTTTTATTCAATATATGTATGCCTTTGGCTGTGTTGTTGTGGACACATACGTACATTGAAATTGATCGATCACAGCTGTAACAATGATCAGCAGCAAGTGATTATATATCTGTGCATGCATGTGCCTGATGTGTAATCATATATATATATATATATATATATATGCATATCAGTATATAGTAAATTAATTGATCGAAATAGGTTTACATGAGGGAGCAGGCGGCGTTGGGGTTCTCATCACTGAACATGAGAGCATACTTCTCTTCCACGGGGTTGAGGGTAGCGATGCCGGGGACATCAGTCCCCCTGACATGGTTGGCGGGGGCCTTCTTGTCGTAGACACCGGCAGCGTAGGGGTGGGCCATGAGCTCGTAGGGGACATATGGCCATGGTTCGCTCTTCTTGCCAGTGCTCTGAGCCTTCTTCAGCACCTTCTTTGCATCGACAAACCCGTACACTGACACCTTCTGCTCTTTCAAGTCGATGTCCACTGATTTCACTCCTACATGAATATGTGTATATTTTCATATTAATGACATTCTATTGTATTGCATTGAGTTAGTATTATTACCTTTCATGGAGTAGAGGACATTCTTGACCTTTTCGGCGCAGCCGGGACAGTCCATTCGGACTTTGAGGGAGACATTGTTGAGTTGCCTCTTCTTCTTCCTTCTCGCTGCGCTCATCAGATCAGACAGGTAATCCAATGTACCTTCAACCCCCATTTTCGATCGATTTCTAATTTAACACTACCTAGCTAGCTATGTGTCTATCTATCTCATATATATATATATATAAGTATATGCCTTGTCTTTGTCTTACAGATAGATGATCGCCCCAACCAAATAGAATACAGAGCTTGCACACAATAACAGCACTTTCATTCTCCCTTCATAGATAGGTTATTTATATGCATATATATATTATCAATCAGGAAACGTGCTAATGTGATATGTAAGGAACTTACAAGAATATACTCCCACAAACACCATATATATATATATATATATATATAAGGCAAGTGGGAATGTGTATTATGAAGGGTTTATATAAACGTATATGTATGCATGGCAAGAATGAACAATACTATTGGTCCCTTTTTCTACTTTTTGCTATTTTCCTATTGGAGAATTTCATGCTTACAAATTTAAAAGCTCTATACATATATATATTCTCATGATTGCATTAAAGATTGAGAACTATGGCCGGTTAGGTTCTGCCTCGCTGACAAAAAAGCATGCACGGGTTTGGAGCATTCACATTGTAAATTACAATATATTATCTACACACACATAAACATTACGCATACATATATTACTAATTACACCCTGCATGCATGTACATATGTAATAGTAGAAACTGCACTAGTTTTTGAGTGACATTAATTTATGAGGCAGCGGGAATTAGTTATTAATATCAAGATTCAAGTCTTGCCTAGACAAGAGAGAGAGACAGAGAGAGAGAGAGAGAGGAATATTTTGGAAGATAAGTGGATGGAGGAATTAATAAATAAATTCAAAAGAATCAGAGTGCATGCACTGTACACCCCATATATAGTTTGTTTCTTGTGCTTTAATTATTACCCGCGAATTATACCAAAGTATTTGATCCCATACAAAATCAGGGTCGGGTCGGGTAGGGTAGGGTCATAATTTCAGTGTCTCTCTAAATGATATATGTTTGATGACTGACAGTAGAAGAGCCATTAGGTTAACTACATGAATGATCGATCATCTAGTTGCAGAGTGGAAAGCCCATACCACCAAATGCCTAGAATCATAACAGGAGGAAGATTCTATACTACTATCTATGCTTTAGAATATTATTCTTAGGTGAAGGAATTAAATCCCATCCCCCTTTTTTGTAGAAAAAACATTTAAGTATTATTCAGAGCATTGAACTTTTTTGACTTAACACCCACGAGATTTTAGCTTTCTTTTTATCACTTGTTTACATAAAAACACGACGTCCCTGTCTCGTCTACCGACCTATCTCATCAGAGAGGACAACTTGGTGTCTTGAAAGCAAGATAGATGCTCACACACAGCAGCAATGGTGGGATGTGTGTAAATGAAAACCTTTGCAAACTTAAGATTGTGAAAACTAAAGCAAGCTTACCCGCGGTCCGAAGTAACAGCTATAACTTGCAGCATGACACTAGTAAGGAATGAGAAGGGAGCAGCCTGCAGAAGACTTCTGGAAGAAAATTTACAGAAATGGCCAAAAGGAATGGTGTAGAGTTGTTTCCACAGAAAACAAGATGTTGATCTTACCTTGGCTGGTATGATATTATCCTTATGTAAGATGATAAACAGTCTAGACTTCCCTGGATAAATTTCTTTCATTTAATTAACCTGGGTGAAGAACAAATGATCACACAAGTTAGATAGCACATGGATGAGTGCATGAGCATAAAAAGGTCATAGATTTTTCAGCGACTCTGCAGATAGATCACCCAAGCCAGGTCAATAATAGATAAGACAATCAGGAGCATCCCACTGAATGCTCACGGCATTGTTTGCTGCCATAGATGCAGTTAATTAGAACAAAAGTAAAGCAGATATTTACTTACGGAGAAGGAAAAGCAATCTAACGAAACCAAGTACTAATTACCCAAACATACCCTACAATAATGGCAGCATGGATGAAGCTCTGTATATATTTCATCTGCGGCTAAAACACAGGAACCCCAGCTAAACACTGACTAAATATTCACTGAAAACAACATTTCATACCCTACTAAGGTGAGGAGTGATGTATAAGCACATGAAAAAATAATGAATAAAAAATGGAAAGATGAATAAACTGATAAGCTATCATGATTTAGACCAAATTCTCCCCTGTTTCACCCTCATATATTCTTTTAAGAAAGAAGAAACATAATTCATATAAGTTCAGAAAGATAACCAAATATTACCTCCTGGTTACACAATTCATCACTATTATCGCCGAATAGTGTTTGGTACATACAGGATGGAGAAAAGTATTTAGGGTTATGATCCACTTGATGTGATGTATTGCATGTGCTATAAATAATGTCTTTAATAATTCTACATTATGTGGTAGAGTAGAAAAGTTTTCTTGTAAATATCTTTCACCATGTGCTAAGAAATTAGAGTAAAAATGCATTACGAAAATAACTATTTTGCTTCAATAATTCAATTCTGAAATTCATGTTTGGGAGAAGTTAAACACAGTCCTTACTGAAAACTAGCTGATTTGTTATTTTATAAAGTATAACATAAACAAAGCCTGTTCCTTTCCCGGCTAAATATATGAGATCGTGGCAAGCAAATCTAACGGTGCCACTTCAAAATAAAAAAGTATCATATCAATCACTAGGTAATAAAAGAGAACAATGATAAGATAAATAAATAAACAAATAACTTCTCTTCTACTTCATGTTTAGCATGTCGAAAAACACAATACTTCCTACAAAGCATTACTTTGCCGGTTATTACATAGATATTATTCACTACTAATAAAATGTTCAATGTTTCATTGTTCACATAACCATAAATATACATATTTATATCAAGCCAATGGTTCATTTTTGCTGCTCTAATAACAACAGTGCCTAAAATGACATCACACCGTACCATCAAGGATAATATGTCTCTTTACTTAAACGAATTCAGTATGCCTGCCAGCATTGCTGACAGCAAAATGAAATCATCATGGCCATGAGAGCCAAGCAACCCAATGCAGGTCAATTTACAATGCATGTATCAACATTTTATCGGTCTTCTACATATCCAGAGACCACATGCCTTGAACGAAAAATCAATGCAAATGCTGTCTACCCTCAACAGCCATATGATAAACCTCGCGTGTTCCACTTTTCCTTACGAATATAGACTTATTTGCTATAATCTTAACAATAAAATAAATAGATATAAATAAAACATACATAATATGGAAATCACAGATGATCCTTTAAAAGATGAATTTCACACGAACAAAGGACCACAACAACATCTAAAAATCCATCGTAGGAAGCAAACCTACGAAAGCACATTGCTAAAAAATTATAACCAAAACTTACAAAATAAAGCCTCCAGACAAAATATTCACACATTCAAGTACGGAAAAGAGCAGTTAATACTTACCAATTCATGCCGCCACTGCCATGTCGAGCATGAACTCGAAAGCTATTTGTGAGTTCAATTTGTGAGTTCAATCTTTCAAATTGTCTCGTCCCTCAAGAGCACCCTAATTTAGCGCGACTTCACGACGTCGTTTCCCGGACCCACGAATCCACAAAGGTGAATGAAGGGTTCAGTTTCTTTTTTTAATTCATGTAGTATTTTATAAAAAATAATAAAAATTGCATTGAATAATAAAGTGTTACTAATATATAAATGCATTTATTTGTATCCTCATTTCTAAATATTTAATACTTCTTTATTATTCAAATATATACCATTTTTTTTTATCATAAAGAAAATATTTTCTTTTCATATTTAGTAAAATTTATATTATCTATTTATATTTTTTTATTATAAAATATAAAAATAATAATTATTAATATTATTTATTTTTATTAAAATTTATGTTTAATTATTTTAGTACATAGTTAAACGATGAAAGAGTATATTTTTATTAAAAAGAACATATTATATTCAATAATTCAATGTTAATTTTATATGAAAATTTTACTTTTCTTAACAATCATTTTATTTATAAAATTAAAATAAATAATAAATATAAATCTATTTTATATAAAAAAAAATCATACACACAACATATCTAAAAAATCTTTATATTTTTTTTATTAAAAAAAAAAAAAAGGAAAAGGGATAATGTGCTAATAAGCTTCCCTACTCCATCTCGAGAACATACTTGGATGAATTTCTCACCTCATCTCCCAAATTACAAAATAAAATATGTACATATATATATATATATATATGAATAAAAATATAAAAGAATATATATTCTATTTTTAGCATTGAAAGTGCAGTTATGAGAATATAAATTAATTAATTAATAAATAAATGAAGAATAGTATAGTTGGGTGAAGATTCATCTTTACTTTTGTTCCAAGTTCAGAGACAGCAACGTAAGGTTTGTTGAGTTCACAGCTGCTTCCTTTGGATCCTTTCTCTTCAACTTAAATAAATAAAAATATATAAATAAATAAATAACTATCAATTTAAATTTATCTATATATGTATAGATAAATAAATAAATGTCTCCCTCTCCCTCTCCCTCTCTCTCCCATCGGCAATCGGCAAATTCAATTCAAAATAATAACAATAAAAAATCAAATTTCCCATCATCCACATCCTTTTAATATACACTCGTAACTAAAATTCATCATTTTATTTTAGTTCCTTCTGCCACGGCCATCTCTTTTGAATTAATTTATTTATTAATTAAAAGAAAAAAAAAAGAAGCCGAAAATAGAAAATTAAAAAGGGATAAAAGGGAAACAATTCCGTGTTGGACTCGAATCCCCAAATGCTAAATTAGGGATATTGTTTGGAAGCACTTATTGTTAGCTGTACTTACAGTGTCTGCGTCACCACTCACTGCAACTAAAGTCTTCACTCGGTTTTTATTTTTTTTCAAATTTTTTACTGCATTTCGGGAGGTTAAAAATCACTAAATAAATCAATAAATGATTAATTACACATTAATTAATTAATTAGAGGATTGTATGTAATTTTCATCTTATAAAAATTAAAATTAAAAGTATCTAACGAGGTCGTATTTGGGGGAGACAGAAAATGACGTCAGACGAGAGCGAGCTAGACACACACCTGTTCGTCTTAGATGTGCCACGTGTAACATTGAGTGACTACGTGTACACTGCTACTCGGACAGCATCACCTCTGCCCATCTGTAACTACATACACACACATATACACATTATTCGTACAAGATTTAAAAATTATAAAAAAAAAAAAAAAAAATCATCGTTGAAAGTATCTTATTTTTTAATGTATTTATATTTGGTAGCCCAAATAATTGTGATTAAATAAATCCTATTGATTTATATATATATTTATCACAATATTCTTACTCAGAGGCAGCTGTTTCAGATTCTAATTTAAATACCGAGTCTTACTCACATTTTTCATTCTTCAATGTATAAATAGTAAGCCGAATTTTAAGTAATCAGCAAATTATATATATACTATCTTCTAGATCTTGCTTTTAACACGTGCTCTAAATTAGAATTAATTAAACAATTCCTCAAATTATTATAATTATAATTATTATTATCAAAATAAATAAAATAAAATTGAGAAGTGAAGTTAGCTAGCAGTGATGTGAAACAATCCAAAACCTATGCTATGGTCTGTGTGTATGTCTGTATCTCTTTCTCTCTCTAATTCTGTTTCTCTCTCTCTCTCTAAAGCAGCAGCAGCAGCAGCAGCACGCAGAATGTATGAGTACAGCATTAGCTGTCCGCCACTCTTACATCTCCTTCTTCTTCTTCTCTGCCTATATAAGCATCCATGCAGGGAGGCAGCCATGGATTCTCTCAATTATAATCCTTAATTAATTAATTATTAATTAATTTGTTGGTCGGTGTGTGTGTGCTGACGATGTACATGCACATTTCGGAGCTCGGAGATTGCCTCGGCACGGAGAGCTGCGTCGATTTGAAGCCGGTCGATGGGGCGGACGACGTCGTATTCGATCTGAATGGGGGCGGCGGCGGCGGCGGCGGGGCGGAGATGAGGCGGAAGGGGAAGGGGAAGGGGAAAGAGGCGGCGCCGCCGGTCGGGAGGGAGTACCCGCCGCAGATCTCGTCGCTGGCTCGGGTCGACAGTCTGCAGGCGCCATGGGTGATGAGGAAATACTACACCGACGACGGCAGGCTCGTCATCACCGAGGAGAAGCTCCGCCGCCACGAGTATTTCCGCGCCCACCGCTCCGACGGCCGCCTCGTCATGAGCTTTGTCCCCGCCGACGACGACGATGATGACGAAGATGAAAATGAAAATGAAAATGAAGATTCCGACGACGAGGAAGAAGAGGAGATCGGCGACGGAGAGGATCAGGCGGCGGCAGCGGACGGTGGCGATGGGAATATTGCGGCGGTTAAAGCTGAAGGTGAGGGAATCGACGGTGCGGCGGCGGCGGAGGGGTTATCGGAGAAATGCAAGTACGGCGGGATTGGCAGGAATGATCCTTGCGGCGGCGGCGGAGCAGGGTTGGGAGTGGCGCTGGCGCTGGCGGTCGGCGGCGGACTCCGTATATAAATCAAAACAGATTTATACATTGGGTTTTGTTTTTGTGTGAGTTTAATTAATTAGGGTTTTGTGGTGGTTTGTAATTTTTGTATTGCTCCAATTGGGTGTATGATCGAATAAAAATTTCTACTCGGGATTAATTCAAATCAATATTTACTAATTAACAACCAGACTAAATTAAATAATTAATTTAATATATTTCCAATCCTACTATTAATTTCATGTAAATATTGTATTGTTGTTAAGGTCGAAGAAATGACTTTAATTGGATGGAGATAATCAATTAATTTTGAAATTTCTGCAGATTGAATCCATCGTGAGTTTCGAAATTACAGGACCTGCAGAATCTAGATATATGTGTGTGTATTTATAATGTGACAGCTAAATGGGGAATAAATTTACAACATTATTGACATATATAAAATGGTGTATGTAGATTTAATTTGAATATATATAGAACAGCTTCGAGATTGTCATGGATAATTTCATGAAAATAATAATAATAATAATAAATTTGTGACACATTTTATCTGTTTTTTTTTTTTTTTTCTATGTTTTAGTTATTTTAAATTATTTTTTAAAGTACAAATAGATGTGGATATTCTGCAGGGTTTGTGTATTTTGCAGAGTCTATCGGTTGAAGATAATATATATTTTTAAGTTCCAATATATGTGTATATATATATATATTGTAGATTGAAGTATTAAATTAAAAATACAAACAAACAAAATGAAAGTATGCCAAGTTCAAGGTTATTCATCTCGCTTCTCGAATATACTAATTAAAATTAATTTTAAAAGATATAAATAATAATAAGCTGAAATTTCATGAATAAAATAAATTAATATTGTACCAAAAAATATTACAAAATTGATCAATCTTAATTAAATCAATTTTACATTAAACATTTTTTTTCATGGAAACTCTTATAATGTTTGTGGATTATGGGTAAGATGTTAATAAAGGTATTCTTATTTAGGAATATTGATTTTAAAAACCAACTGTTAATGTATATAATTTTTTTATTTATTTTTTTTTATTTTCAAGAAAAAAGTTTTATAAGCTATGTTTCTAGGGAGCAACTTTTAATTAGAAGTGACAATATGTTTTTTGCTTAAGCATCAAGGTAAATTTCATAAATATATATATTAATAAAATATCATATAAAAAGTTATTAAAATTTTTTTAAAAAAATAATAATATGGGAATATATATATAATTATATAATTGTTCCACAAAATTAGTATATACTTTTTAACTCAATAATATAAATATGTATATATAGCTATAGTGAATAATCTCAACATGTGTGTATATATATACATCAATTTATTAAGGGTATGTTTGTTTTGTAATATTTTTTGAAGGAATATTTTTTTATATTATGTATAGAAAATAATTATGTAGACAATATAAAAATAATTAATATGCTTAATATATTTATCTTATTTATTTATTTATTTATTTATTTTTGCAAAAAAACGACACACCGTAAATCATTTTAGAAGTTTTTAATATCACTATAGAATATGCTTGTCTAGTATATGTCATTTGAAGTATTTTTTATATTTAATGTCGAAAATATATTGGTAATATAAAAAAACTAGTGAAATTAGAATGCTTTAATTTTTTCAAAATCTTATGTAATTATTTTTAAGGCATAAATATGATGCTGATCTAACTCATCTCATTAAAAATAATATCTTAGGTTGAATTATTAATTTTTTTTTTTTTTGTAAATTGATGTATATATTACTATATATTATGTAAATATGTGTATATATATATTATATTTTTATAATATTAATTAAAAAACATGTATTATATGTTTTCATTGGGTGAACACACATACATTTTTTTAAACAAATATATATATATATATATATATTATTGAAAGTAGATGCTGTCGTGCTTACGGCCCACGTATGATCTTATAAGTGAGCTCTACATCGAACTTGGCCCAAGATATAGTGGCGTGATGGTTTGTTTGGTTCTTATACTATTATATATTTTTGTGTGTAAAATATTACCAAAAAATTTAATGCATATTTATTACTCCCTCCGTCCATAGTATTCATTTTTCCATTTTATTCTATCCAAAGGAAATAAATATTTTTATATATTATACAAATGTCATTACTTTTATAGTACACGTACTGATAAAATTATTTTAGTTATTTATACTATATCTCAATATAATACTATTTCTAAAACTACGTGCAAAAAGCAAATACATTTATTACTTTAGGGACGGAGAGAGTATTTCTTTCGGTATGTCAAATTTCTTTTTATTTTTCTTTTAGTCCGTCCCTAAATTTATTCATTTATTAATGATTAACCTTCATTCAACATTTATTTAGAACAAATATAGCTAACTGTATTATATTATATCTCCATATTTACTTTAAATTTTAACTAAATTTTCAAAATATTCCTAATTACTTATTATTTTTTAATAAAATATTCATTTTTCTAATATTTGTGCCGGATCCAAGTAGATTAATTTTAATGGATAGAAAAAGTGTATATATATATAAACTATAATTTAATTATGTGGATAAATTTGTTATGATCTATTAATGTAAAATATTATTCAAATAAATATTTATTTGAAATTATATGGACATAGTCAAGATTCTAATTAGTGCAAGGGCACAAGTACCTTACATATATATATATATTTGTCCGTAAGGATGGTACGGTGGTGTAAGGGTTGGACTTATAACACTAAGATTATGGATTCAAAGAAAAATCGGATAGGGTATTAGGTTCGGTCGGGATTTACCCAGTGCGCACTTTCGGGTAATAAATATATTTAAGATCTTCATAGCTAAATTGTGGATTTCCCTGTCATAAGCAAATATATATTTTTTTCCATAAATATTATTTGCAAAATACAATTAAAAATAAAAAATAAAAATTATAAAGTTACATATATTTGAGTACCTTAATTGCCAAGTCAAACCTTGTGTTTTCAAAATTTCAAACAAAACTTGGTCATAAGTCACAATCACCAACAATTCTTCAATCTTTATTTTATATCCATCATTGTATGCATGTAGTATCTTTTATATCCATCCGAATCAGCAACATATCTAAATACATTATTGTTCAATAATAAATAATTCTTAAATTATGTTAAACAAGTAATTGGGTAGTCAATTTGCAATACCACAATTAACGGGATTAATTTGGTAAATATGCTTAATTGGGTAGTCAAATTGCAATAGCACAATTAATGGGATTAATTTGGTAAATATGCCTAAATGGTTAATAGGGCAGGGCAGTCAATTTGCAATAGTACATAAGGGATTAATTTGGTAAAATATGGCTAAATGGTTTTTCGATTACATTACAGATTCCTAAATCGGCAAAAATGGAATAATCTATGCATAGATATATAAATTCCAAGTCAAATATTTGCAGCTCCAATTCTGTTCATTCAAGAAGATTGATGTCTCCATATAATCAAAAATTTCAGGGAATAGAAAGAAAGGAAGTGATAAAAATCCGATCTTGACCACTTCCAGTCAATTTTGTATTTCCCAATTTAACGAAGAAGATTCACAATTTGTTTCTGTATATCAAACAAAGAAACAAACAAACAAAAGGGAGAGGCTTTTCAATTCTTTCTCCGTTGTTCGACTTCCACCCACCCAAGTATTCCTTCTTCCTTTCGCATTAAATTATTATCAGCCCTCGAGCCACGAAAGCCCTTTCCTGCTGCACTGCCAATCCTTTCTCCGCAACTCATAAATTCTCTGTCGTCTTGCGCGTCTGTTGTTTGCGATCAGGAAATTCATTTATTGTTTTGTTGTATGAACTCAGTGAATTTATTATGACAATTAGAGCCGATTCTCGTCGGGAATCTCGCCGCTTCTGATCTGCGTTCTCGGCGCTGAGGAAAATTTGGTGTTCTGTAGTGGGTTTTCAGTTCTGATCTAGGGTTTACTTTATCGATTTTAGGGTATTTCTTTGTTGGTGAATTTGGGGGTTTTTTGTTTTGTTGTTTCTTTAGCCCGTGATTTGATTTGTTTGGGGTTGAGAATTCGTGAGATTCTTTTCATGGCTGCGGATGAACTGGTTGAGCTTAAATTCAGGCTGGCCGACGGCAGCGATATTGGACCGAGCAAGTATAATTCTAGTGCAACTGTGTCATCTCTCAAGGAGAAGATAATTGCCCAGTGGCCCAAAGGTTAGGTTCTTTTCGATCAATCAATCCATTTATGATAACCTTAAACATTTTTATGGCCGAGTTTTGTGAAATTTAATGTGTTTTTTCGTTTTACTTCCCATCCTGTGTCTGAATTTTGTTTCTATGATGGTTTAATCCTGTTTTTAGATTCAAAGAATTCATCGATTTGGTATCTTGTGTTTTGGGTATGGTTGCCTGCAAATGTAACATTATTGAGTGGGTTTTGTGTGCATTCAGGAATTCTATATTTGTAAAGTTAGATTTCTTGGTTTAGTGCAAAGATAGCTTTGTTAGATGCAGCTGAGATTCACAATAGCTTTGCAAATATGCAAAATGTATCAGATGGATAATTATTGCTCATGAGTCTCGTGTCGAATTTGATGCTTATGGGTGAAAAAAAAGAAAAAAAAAAAAAGAACCATGTATGAAGATGAGTTTTGTGTGAAATGGTCTGTACAATGGCAAAGTTCTTTATCATATCAGGATATTTAGAGTAAAATGTAGACCGTAGATTATGTAGAATACACACTACATGTATCAGTCTTTTGGCTAATTTGGCATATTTTGGTCTTTTGATTAATTTGGGATTTTGGTGAACATGAATTTTCTGGAGCATATCGGAAGATTTGTATTAGTAGATGTGGCCCTGCTGTTGTAACTTCTGGTTTTGGTTTCTGATCAAAGTAACCAAAGTCTCTACTCATGAGATGGTTAAGTTTTGATTTAGGTCTGCCTATGGCTCCTGCTGTTTAACAGTTCATGTTTCGGTTCTGTTATTTATATAATCCCTAACTAATCTCATTCAAAAGTACTGTACTTTTGTTATAAAAGGCTCATCACAAGAATAAAAGAAACGTGTAATTGAAGCTTCTCAACATTGTAGGAAGTAAGTTAACCAAGTGAGAATTGCACGCCGTTGTCCAGTTCCCCTGTTCGAGCATATTGGAATAACTGACAAATATATTAGCAATTTAAGATTATACGAGATAAAGAACAAAAATTTAATCAGTTTATATGTTCTTCTTACAACTAAGGATTGTGTTTTTTTATTTAAGTGTAGAAACCAGAAAGGTTTCAATGTGTGGTTCAAACATGTTTGAGGTTTCTCGTATTTGGAGGACTGTATCTTGCCGAAGTTTTCTTTCTTGACAATGACAATCTATATTGACCTATTGTTATGCAGACAATGAAAATGGTCCTAAATCCATAAACGACATCAAGCTTATCAATGCTGGAAGGATACTTGAAAATAACAGAACCCTCGCTGAATCACGGCTTCCTCTGAGTGAAATCCCTGGAGGTGTCATTACGATGCACGTTGTTGTGCGTCCTCCCATTTCAGACAAAAACAGTGGTAATAATATTTCATATTTTAGTTTCATATACTTTGCTGAATTTTTATTTTTTATTTTCCAATCACACTACGTATTCCCCCACCCCTTTAATTGTTTTCTTCCTTTTTCACATGTATGATTCATTTGCAAAATATTTCAACCTCTCATTTATGTGCAGCGATGAAATGTGACAAAATTGAGAAATTAATGATACATAGCTTTTGCTCTCGAATATTTTACTTTGCAAGTTTATGCTGATATTGGAAATATGGTGTTCCAACAGATAAATTGCAGGACAATTTGCCGAAGAAGGGTGGCTGCTTTTGCACAATCTTGTGACCTATATATATCCGATTAGCTGTTTCGGGACTGCACTACATTCCTTCCTTTCTCTGCTTTCCTACATGTTTCCTATGAAGTTTCTGGATTATTTGCATGTAGAAGAAGACTACACATGTTAATAGATTCGTAAGTATTGCTCTTACATCTGTGTCGAGCCTCCGTCTGATTAAATCCAAGATTCAGAAGTACTTATTCGATGAAGGCGATTCTGAAAGGAGAGAGACGTGCAAGAGTGTTTGTTTTCTGCGTTGAATTGTAGTTTCATAGTATGATTGTAATAATGATATAACATATTGTGGATCTAAACCCTCCCTTTTATATTGTGCCGTATGTATATGAAAATTTGCTTTATTTCTTGTTAGATTATTGCACAACGTCAATTACACACCATTTTTCATAAATACATTATTCTTATGCTACACAAACCATACCATATTGCAACAGCTCCTTTTTTCACTCAGTGGAAATAAAAACAACAATCACAACCTTGTCTATATATTACAGCAGCAATAGAACATTAAACTTCGAAAACTTTCATTCGTCTTCATAAAGGCTAGAACACAAACTGTAAACATACCTGGATTTTGTTATGCGTGGCTGTTGGAGGGATGGATCTTGTGATGAGAAGCCATCGGAAAACAGACAGCAGCAGCAGGAGTAGATGGAGAAGATTGAGGAACGTTGGTGGTGGTCTCTGGGGTATGGATGTGTTTGGGTACAATTTTGTCCATTTTTTGTTTGTAGAGTTTCTTCATGGCATAGACCTCAGCCAGCCCAAGAATGAAGTTGGTAGACATTGATGATGATGATGAATCAATACAAGCACTAAACGTCTGTTACATATATATATATATATATATATTATTATATATGTGTGTGTTGTGTTGTACATGTAATAGGAAGTAGATAGATATGTATTTGCAGAAGATAAAACTTGGGCATCACGGAGTTTGTAGTCAACATATGCATTTTTTGAAAAAAAGAAAAAATGGGAAAAAAAAAATATATTTTTTTACAACGTGGAATCCGCAGCCGCTACCTGACGAGTGCGTTCTAGGTAAACTCTCAACCGAACTTAGTATCATGCAAAATAAGTCCGACAAAACAAGTTACATTAGACGAACATCCGTGACACAAGATATACATTTAATTAGCATTTATTACTCCTACAAAATATCAAATCAATACATTATAATCACTCTAAATATTTTAGATTAAAAAAAAAAACAAACAAACAAAAACAAAACACACTCTAATTAGTACTCTTTCCTCTCAATTCAAACTATTTTATTATTATTATTATTGTTTATTTCACTTGAAAATATTTATTTTCTACAATTATCCATTAATATTAAAATACTTTAATTTTTGTACAATTATTTTACACATTTTTATTGACCAATAATATCCTATTATATTTTAGTCTTTTATAAAACTCTAAAGAATTCTTTTGAATTGAGATGCGAGTATGAAGTTGTACACCAACAACTAGAAATAGTGAGGGAGTGAAGGGATTTGTCCCTTTTCGTCACTCATTTTCGTGGAAGGAATAAAGACACGGTGTCGTTTTGGACCATTCTTTTGACATTATTTCGCGCCTTGGAGACTAAGCAAATGATAACGACAGTTTATTTATTTATTTTTTATAAGACTGATTCGAGGTGTGTTCAGAATTGAGATCTTGTCTTAATAGTTGAAACTACAGTAAAATATAGTATTTTTATTTATTATATTTAAAATTAAAATTTTTAGCTAATTTAAGGCATTATATTTAACATTTACTTCTTATTAAATAAATTTAAATGTAATACACTTTGAAACATTCAAAATTACAAAGGAAAACGCATCATAGGAATATGATTTGTTACGTTCATGAGTTCAGTAGTACTGTAAATATAAAGAGTGATTGTAATCACACATTCAACATCGTCTCATAGAAGATATAATGCAAAATAATATAAAATAAAAGAACGTATTCCATATAAATTCAGTGTAATAAAATGACCAAGTACTTAAGATACACCTATAATAATTTCAATTTTAAATTTAATTTAATACATTTACATTACGATATATATATATATATATGTATATTATAAACAAAATTTATTTTAAAAAAATGATTTGATTATAGTAACAGACGCGTCCATAGCCAATTTGTTTTCTTGTGGATGATGGACAAAATTTGTTTTCAGTTGCTTTCACTTCATTAGGTATACATCACATGTGTCCTTAATGAATACTACGATTGTATTATTTCATCCATTATTAGCTGTGTAAAAAATTCTTTTTCACAAATATTTGTAGGGTTTAGTGTTTTAATTTTAGTGTCTTTTTTTTGTTGTTTTTTTTTTTTTTTTTCATATGAACATTATAACGTATTTTTATTTTCAGTTGTTACTTTTCATCAAATAATAAAATATATTAGTTATATTATATAAAGATATGTATATATTAGATTTTAAAAATAAAATAAAATCGCAATCCAATATCAAATAGAAATAGTAAATATTCTATTTAATTCGATGCATGTTATAAATAATAAATTTTTTTTTCATGAAAAGTTAAATAATTCAACATAATCATAGTTTATTTTTATCTTGGGTAAGTAATACTCCCTCGGTCGTCCTTGTCCCACATTCATTTTACTTTTTTTTTTGGAAAATAATTACACACTTTAATTTCATTTTAAATTTTTTAATTTTTTTTAATCTTAATTTATAATTATTTATATTATAGGATAATTATTCTTTATTATCTACTAATTATACCCCTTCTAAAATACCGTATCTACAGTGTAACAAATACGGTATGTGGGACGGAGGGAGTAATTTGTTGGGTGAAGAAAGTTGTCAACTCAACTATTATATATATACATATTGGCAACTCATGGTTTGTTAATTTGTTAGTTATTTAATTTTGGTGGGAAAACTTTTTTAATTCAATAGCTAGCATAATTAAAGCAGAACAATTAAAACAACTTATTGGGAAGAGCAGCTAGCCTTGGGGATACAAGTTATTACAAGAGAAGACACTAAGTCCCTTTGGGCTGATCTATATCTATAAGGCGGGGAGCCCCTCAATATAGAGCAAGTAAGCCTAAGTCGCGATGGGCTTAGACGAGGTCTTCCTCCACTAGCAGGTTTTTTCGGGATAAACTTGTGATTGTAAAATTATAAGTAAAAATTTGAAAATAAAAAAGTCCTATAGGACACGCATAATAAAAAAGTTACATGAAATGAAAACTTCTAAATTAATCCATATTAAGTATGGATGTACATAGACAGACAGATAGTGAGACAGATATACAGATACAGAAGGAAGTATGATCAAATTAATGATCTGCAGATATATCAAAAGGAAACCCTAAATGAAGAATAGTAGTTAATTAAAGGTGAGGTGGAGTTGCAGTAGCAGTGTTGGGATGAACATGAGCTTTCTTGACGAGTTTAAGCATAGGAAAGAAGCAGCAGCAGCCATGACTGCTTTCTTCTTCTTCTTCTTCACGATTATGAGGAGGACTAGTGCAGTAATTAGTCGTCGTCGTCTTCTCCTCTTTGTTGTTTTTGCTGTTGTTGGTGTGCTCCTTGCTGAGCTTCCACATCACGTAAGCTTCTGCATAATCTCCACTCAACATTATTGCTACAAGTAGCTGATTTACCTCACCTCCTATATTTGTATAATTGTGGGAGAGAATGAGTAATAGCTAGGGTCGGTAAGGTAATTAATTAAGAAAGTAAGTGCGAGGGAGAATGTGCGAATATATATATATATATATAGATGTATAGATGATCCAATGTGCGTGGGGAGGAAGTAAGAGCGAATGAGGAATGTAAACCAAATATCTATCGCCATTTTACAAATAAATTTGCACTATCGATAGTGATAGTGAGAATTTTTAACTAAGGAAACATCCCACCACATACATACCTGCTTGTTAATATATGGTCTGGTCTGGTCAGCAACACCCAAACACAGTCAACCAACCGTGGAACCCAAGAATCTCTCTCTCTCTCTCTCTCTCTCTCTTCTCTCTCTCTCCTGAGTCTCAAAATTAAAATCGGCATAATTTACAATAACATCAAAACTATATACAGTGACGTTTGTTTTTTGCACGTAAATTTTTGAATATTAGTATTATATTAAATTATAGTAAAAAAAAAGAAAGATAAAAATACCCTTATTAGTATAGTGTAATATAAAAGTAATGGCATTTGTGTAATATATTGTAAGTTAAAATGATATTTATTATGTTAAGTAGGTAGTACAATTACTAAATTAGAAAATTGTAACTTTATTTTGAGACAGACGAAAATGAAAAATAGTAACAGTTCAATGGACGGAGGGAATATTTAATTTATTATTTCATATTTTTACAGGATCATAATAGGTGGGTCCCAAAATAAATTCATTAAAGTATTAAGCTAGACTACATTTACTTTTTTTTTTTTTTTTTTTTTTTTTTGATGACATGGGAACCGCAACCGCTACACGAAAAGTGCGCACTGGGTAAACTCCCGGCTGAACTTAATACCCTGCAAATCAGACTCGACGAAAAAGTCACACTAGGTGAACCATATATAGCAGGTGACCAGAGGAGTCGGAAATTTGAATGTAATGGTGCAAAAGAAAATAAATAAACCATTCTAGCCCAGCCAAAACTGATTGAAGTTAATTATGGGTGTGTTTGTTTGAGGGATTTTGTGGGATTTCTACTATTTTCATAAAATTTTTTCTCCAAAAACATCAAATCAAATATTTATTTTTTATTTTTTATATTATACTAAAAATCAATTTTACATTCAAAATATCACATCAATTCTTATTTATATCACATCATACAACTATTCAAATTCAAAATTTTTACTATTCAAATCCCAGCCCAAAATCGATGAAACACACCCTGTAGCGGAACATTAACCTCCATTATTCGAATCCTTGAATTGGTCAATTCATAATATAATATCCACTTGAATTATATTTCTTGATATTTATTATATCAAATATTTAATTATTATTATTATTTTAAAAAAATTTTAAAACTTAAAACTTTCAAAAACCATATTTTATATACATTTTTGAAAGTTTTGATAATAACAGTATTTAAAAATGTATATATATACCCCATGTCATTTTAAATACATAAATTATCTTAAAAAATATTATATCAAATATCAATTTTTTTATTATTTTAATATATTTTGTAATTTAAAAACTTTGATCTAAGGAGAGTATATATTTAAACTGAACTTTACTTTTATTTGAAGAATATATACTCCTCTGTCCAGTTTCTATTGTCCTAAAGTATATTTGTACAGTATTTTAGGTGATTATTTTTTTGTCATTCATTGACAAATTTGC